TTCCTTTGTCCTTCCCCTTCCAGGCCTCTGACCGGCCGTTTGAGCCATCAGCCAATGATTAGAGGACTGGTTCCAGGGAACCTCTGTGGATACCAAAATCCATGGATGCTCAAGACCCATATATAAAATGGTGTAGAACCATGCACACGTACCTCTGATCAAGTTTTTAACAAAATTTAACAAAAACTTAACCCCACCCCAAAAACATGCTAATTGTTTTCATCCCAGCTAAAACTCAGAGCTGGTCCATGTTGCTTGAGGGGTTATGTTTTTGCAAAGTCATAGTATAATTTAAGTGCTCTATGTATACGTGATAATTCAAGGGCTTTGAGTGGTATTAACTAATCATTTTTATTTCTCCATCACATTCTGACATGATCTTTCATTAAAAGAGGTACTTTGTACTTCAATTAGATAAACTTTCATTTTGGGCATATGATTTTTCTGCTGCTCTTACCAAAGAAAGTAAATTAGGACAAGGTCAATTCTGTGTTTACTAGACAGCAACCAGTACATTATGAATACACAGTTAATGTTTAGGCTATACTAGTACGCTTTTTAGCAAATTTATGGTATTGAAAAACATAATCCTCTTTCCTCCAAAGCAGCTCTTTTTCACTGAAGGAAAACTGTTGGCAACTGCTCTGTTTCCATGGACTTATGATTCTAATAGGTCCCGAAAATAAAATCCAGCCTTTACCAAAACCTCACATATGCTTTATATCGATAACATGTCCTTTATCTCTGCTTATGTATTTTGGGAACCAAGAAACACCACCAATTAGGTAAAAATCCATGAATTAGAACTCTAAAGGACCAATTTGGAGGAAGGGAGCTGTGTGGGAGCTGACATATAACACACTTAATTTTTATGAAAAAGGGAAAAATTGCACAAAATCATAAAGAATCAAAAAATAAAAATATTTTTCAGAATACATTTGAAAGTGTATGGTTCAAATTTAAACCACATTCTGTACCTAATGATATTAAATCACTACAGGAGACCTTAAGAAACAAGACAGAATGTCCAAGACATTCTACTAACAGAAACAAGTGTATTATACATTTAATTCTTTATAGTGACTACAAAACAGGGATCAGAAAGTTACAGGTTTTAATCCTCAGTTAACTAGAAGATCAAATCAACAACTTCAACTCCATGTCTTAAACAAGTGGCTCTTAATTTTAGCTGCACATTAGGGTGGTCTAGGGAACTTTCCAAATTTTCAATGAACCGGTCCCACTCAGACTAATTAAGTCAGAATTACTGGTTTTGTTTTTTGCTTTTTAAACTCCCCAGGTGATTCTCATATGTGGCCAAGGTCGAGATTCACCACCATGGATACTGCAATTATTTTAAGTTTTAGCTTACTATTATTAAATTTTAAGTTTTAAACCAGATTAGTTTAAATTACAAATTAAATCTCTATGCTGGATGGAGGCATATTTGCCAAGCGACCTTTAATTTTCCTGGAGTACTGGAAAAAGAGTGAAATCTGCATGCGGGTTAACATTATGTCTGATGGACTTCCAGTCCTGGCGGTGTCCACGTGACACAGTTTTAGGTGCTGAAATAAAAGGGAAATCTTGCCGGCTCTTTTCCTTCTGAGATAAAAGGATAGCAGCCTCTGAGGGGAAAAAAGTGAATCTCATTTCTTTTTCCATTCTTCTAGCCCTGAACTCTGAAATAAATCCTGAAACTGAGAAGTACATCTTGCAATCAGAAAGCAACAATGAAATAAGCCAGGTCATACAAACACTGGGTGATCTCACTTATATATGGAATCTACAAAGCCAGAACTCACTGAAACGAAATATTCTCACTACAGATTGGTAGTTGACAGAGGTGGAGCGGGGAGAGATGGGGGAGGGGGAGAATAGAGGAAAGTGGTCAAAAGGTAAAAACTGGGGAGTACAATGAATGCAACAGTTGTGAAAATGAAGTTAACAATCTGAGCATGGTGGAGCCTAGAATCTGTGAAGGAGCATGAGTCTCTGATGACATTGTGGAGTCACTGAACTCGGACGGGGGTTTTCAACTGTTGCCCCACAACAGTCACAGTGGTGTGCCACTGGAATCTTTAAAACAGGCAGTACCTAACTATTTATTGGGGGGGCACTGGCCTCTTTTGTCTTAGATTTTCAAATAAAAAAGAGAAATCAGCTAACACAACAATAGCCATCTGGTGTGAACGAATAAAAATTATACCTATTTCTGTCAAGTTGGTAAAAAATATATTTTTTGCTGTGCCACAGAATTTTCTGGATTCTCATTACTTGCAGCCAAAAGCATCTCTAATGGACCCAGTTTGGTTCTATCTCTGTCTGCCAAGCTGTGAATCATTCAGCATTTACTATTGGCTAGTAACTTTACAGCTTATTCTCACTTTTGGGTGACAGAACAACCCCAAAAGATAAGTGTTGTTATTCCCATGTTACATATGCAGAAACTGAGGCCCATACACATTAATTATCTTGTCCATGGTCATAAAGATTTGAATTTGAGGTTGGATTCCCTTGATTCAATGCCAATCCTCTTAATTACATTGCTGTAAACCTCTTGAATATGTATGAAAGGGGACCCCCCCAGAAAAAGGGAACTTATTTATTTTAAAAAATTGTGCATTTATTCTGAACATGTTTAAACATCAGTCACCTTCCAAGTACTTACATTTGAGGCGATACACCTGTCGAGGCTTTTTTTCCCACTTGTCAACACAATATTTGAACTCATTGATTTTGATGCCTTTTAGGGCTTCTGCTGTTTTTTGTTTTAGGCTCTTCCACATTTGCAAAACATTTCTTTTTGAGGACTTTTTTCACCCAGGGAAACAAACAAACAAAAAGAGTGTCTTGGGGTGAGATTGGGTGAACAGGGAAGATAAGGTGTGAAGGGTCATGCCATTTTTGGTCAAAAAATGCTGAACACTCAGCACAGTGTGGGCAGGTGCACTTGTAAATCACCCATCATGAACCAGGCAAAAGTGTTGAGTCTTCCACAACAAAGTCACTGAAGCTGAAGGCAGCCTCTCCCAACGCCAGCTAGTACACTGATACCAATGGGTTCCTAGAACACTTACTTAGTGGGAGCAGCCTGTATACAAGAGGGCCACCCTCCAGAAGATAGTTCCAGGGTTTTTTTGCGTCCCCCCTCCTCAAGTTGTCATGCTAATTAAATTGTATTCTTCTTCAGTTATGAAGAGCATCTTGTGCATTTAGGAAACACATAATACTTGGCACTTAGATTATTAGATATTCAAAGAATTGATGGGCTTAGCTTGGTTAACTGCAAAATTATAGAATAAGCTTTGTTGCTGTTCTGCAAAACCACAAGATACTTTAAGTTCACTACAAAAACACTCAAGTGAATCTACTTTCTGACAGCATAAAAGACTTGATAAATGACATTGTGAATATTAATCTGGGGCTTTGGTATGTGATGCACTTTTTCTTCTTGGTGAACAGGCACACGAATAGTAAGGTTTTGATGTACATGTTTAAAACAGTTATGTGGATATGTCTGAGAGGATGTAAGGTGCTGCTTTCTGTGGCCCTGAAAATACAAATGGGTCCCTTCCAGGTATTGAACAGTAAGGTATATTTGTGGGGTTTGTTTTTTTTTGACCAACATATACCATACTATTTGCCTAATAGGCACTGCTGAGAGACCTGCAATTCTTGTCCTGAGTTTGCTTCTCTTGAGCATTTACTGGAGAATTAATGAATTGAGGAAAGCAGTATAAAGTTTGGAATCAACCTTACCAGATCAAAATAGTATGCTTCCTCTTTTTTCCTCTTCCTCCATAAAATGAGGGGAAAAGACCTAATGCTTGTACTTGAACTGTTCTTATCAGACTTAGATGAGCTGAAATGCAAATATAATGGCTGAGGCCAACAATAGGTACTTAAACATCTATGGGCTGAGTAGTGTGATAGGTGCCTGGAAAGCAACCATGGCCCTGCCATCAAGAAGCGTAGTGAACTACCAGGCTCAAGACTAAAGTCTTGAAGGGGTAGTAAACTGTGTGATTTGGAAAACAGTAAAACCTGAGCATGACACATCTGGTATCAAGTTCCAATTCTTTAACTTTCCAGGTGGCCCTGCAAAAGGTATGTCAGTGCCCTAATACCAAAACCTGTGAAAATGACCTTACTAGAGAAAAGGATCTTTGAAGATGTAATCAAGTGAGGACCTCCAGATGAGATCATCCTGGATTATTCCAATGGGCCCTAAATCCCATGACCCGTGTCCTTATTAGATAGAAGACACAGAAAAGAAAGCCATGTGAAGAGAGAGGCAAAATTGGAATCATGCAGCCACAAGCCAAAAAAACATTTGGAACTACCAGGAGCTGAAAGGGGCAAAAGTTTCTGCCCTAGAGAGCCTTGGGAAGGTGCCTAACCTTGACAGCAGTTTGATTTTGGTCTTCTGGCCTACAGAACCATTAGAGAATAAATTGGGGTGTTCGACACGAGTTTGTGGTGTCAGTTTTCTCATCTGTAAAACGGGGACACCATCCTAACTAGTCTCACATGCTGAAGTGAAAAACGGGATAAATGCAGTCGGGCAGATGTTAAAAATGGCAACATTAATTGAGCTCTTATCATGACCATTCGCTGTACTGAGAGCTTTCCATGGGCTTAGTTATCTATATTTCATTAGATAATCAAGGCTCTGAGAAAGTTAGTAATTTGCGGAAAGCCACACAGCTAGTAAGCGAAAAAAAAGTGATTACAATTCAAATCGACTTCCGAGGTATCCCTCTTATCCTCTGCACTAGACTGCCAGAGAGGGTGCAAGGTAACGCACCTTCTCTGAAACTGAAAACGTTAACTATTTTAGCATTAGTTCAGGTTAAAGAGTTAACCGAGCCAACCAAACCGGTTTCAAAAAAATCTCTTCAGCCCCCGCCAGAGGGCGCCGTCTTCCGAGGCGCGGAAGCGACAGGGTTAATGACGTCACTTTCAGGAGCCGCAAATTCGTCCCTGACGACGGATCTTTCCAAGGGCCAAAACGCGTATGTAGCATAGCCTTTGTTCTTCTAGAGGAGGTAAGTGAGAGCGGACCAATGGAAATGCTGAATTTCTGTTTTTCCGGCTAATAACCTCCCTTTAACCCAATCTTCTCTGCGGAAGAAGAAAAGAGTGGACCCGGGGGCGGTGCAAGCCCAGGAAGCGGAAGCAGCCGTGTGAGCAGGGAGCTACTTCTGACTGAACCACACGTGTGCGGTGAGTGTGGCGGGCTTGGAGGCTGTTCCTGGTAGGGATTTGCCCCATGCCCGGCGCTGGAGTGGGAAGGTGTCGGAGCTGCCAGCGAGGATAGAGGTGTTCACACCTGTCACTCGCTGGGCAATCATCTGTTGCCCTTTTTATTCTGAAAGTTTCGAGATTGACCGGAGCTTGGCGACCGCGCGTTTACGACTCCTTTCTACCACTTTGTCCTGAGAGTGCTGGACTAGCCTCACCACTTTCATCCTCTAATCTGGCCCGCTCTAGTTGCATTCAGCATTTCTTTTTCTTTCTTTCTTTTTCTTTTCTTTTTTTTCTTTTTTCTTTCTTTCTTTCTTTTTTTTTTTTTTGTCGGTCGTCCGTTTGACAGACATCCGCTCTGCGCTCAGTCAGTGCCAGGTGCCAAATTTACAACTTCGATGCAAGTTCTCAGCGCTGGGAGGGAAACTTACCGGGTACTGCGATGGAGGAGAGGGGAGTCTGAGGAAGTGATCCTAAAGCCAACCTAAAGCATGACGAGAGGCAACCCTGAAATCTGGAAGTCCAGGAAAAACTACTGCAAGCAGAAGCAGTAATTTGGGCTAAGTCCCTGAGGTGGGAGCTATAGAAAAGGAACCAGTGTAGTGAGCTAGGGGTACAGCGATGCAAGATAAAATTAGGTGGGTGGGGCCATGGTAGGGGAGTTTAAATTTTCTATACAATGGGAATACATTCCCATTTGTAGAAAACAGCGAAGGCTTATAAGCAAGGGGGAAACATGATAGGCCCTGGTTGTCTTTAGAAAACATATAATTTGTATTATTGTTGATTATATAATTGGAGATTATTGATGATTGTTTGGATTAAGGTGGTGGTAATTGGGATCAAAGGTGTAAAGTTAGAGGTATTTTTTAAGGGTATTGAAGACTTAGCGAAGGACTGAGTGTAGCGGACAAGGGAGAAGAAAATGTCAAAGGCAAATCATGGGACTTTTCCTTGAGCAGTGGAGTGGATGATGTGCCATTGGCTGGGATAGAGAAGAATGGGGTAGGATTATTTTTGGGGTGTTATTTGCAGTGGACATAAAGTTGAAGAAATATGTTTTGGACTTAGTAAGTGTAGGGAGCATAAAAGGGAGCATCAGGTAGGCAGTTAGATACACAAGTCTGGAGCCCAAGGAGATGTTCCTAATGGAGAGGTAATCTGGGAGTCCTCAGCACTGAGAGCCATGGGATTGGATGAGATCACCTAGAGAGAGGTGTGTGAGAATGGGGGAAGGCTTGAGGAATGTCAGCATTTTGAGGCAGGGTATTAACTGTTTGTAACCTTGAAAGTGCAATGCTAAGTGTGCTGAAAGGAGTTAAAGAAGGACCAATCAGATAACCCCTCTATCTCTGGGAAATCTCTGCTGTTTCCCTTCACAAGCACAATCTGGCTTTCTGCTCTGTGGCTCCCTGAACATTTTATATATACTTTAGTTAAAATGCTTATAAACACTGTACTATAGTTGGTAAATTACAGGGGTGCAGGTTAGCAATTCTGAAACTACGTGTGTGCTAGGATTGAACAATACATAAATTGTGAATAGTAGAGGCAAGTTTCTCACTGTCAGAGAAGTTATAAATAATAAAAAAAGGAAGAGTAGAGAACGCTGTAGCACTTGGTTAGAATTGGAGGCATTACTATGAGCTTATTTAATAGTTACAGAAATACAGTTTTGTGTTGTGCACACAGGCTAGTATATACATACATGTGTACTAGTCCTGTCTAGTTAAAAGACCTGGAAGCAGTGACACCCAGCAGCAGTAAACACACCTAACTAACATTCTTATCCTGGTTTGTAAATGTCCTCAGTAAAAGGAACCAGGGTTTCTTGGAGAAACAGCTGCTGCCTGGCTATCACAGGGAAAGGACAAGGTGAACTTGGAACAGTAAGGACATGCTTTAAGAAAAAGATGGGGTTGTCAAACTGTCACAGCAATTTGAAAGATTTTCCACTAGCCAATGCTGGAACAAGTTGAGCAACAAAATAACAATAGTATTAGGTTATAACCCTGAGTAATAAAATATCTGTGAGACCATACTGATGTAAATAAATGATTAAATAAGTGGGAAGAAGAAACACATTTTCTCTACAGAGAAATTCACAATAATAAAAGTAGAGGTATGGAGGGCAACAGAAAGCCAACAGTAAAACACCATAGTCAGTGGTGCAGGGAAGATTCACTGGAGAATGCGAAAATTATTGGGAGATGTATGGAATATTGCATAATCTCAAAGTGTATCACCCAAAACATTTATTAGTTGCTAAAACATATTTTAACAAATTCATTAATATTTCTCCCTCAAGGAAGTAGAACTTAATTCTTCTTTCCTTCATTTTAGGTGAACGTACAGACTTAATTATAATAAATAGAGTATGGAAAGAGACACATAGTAACTTGACAGTGGAGAGATGTGGCAAACAGCAGCTCAACCAAATGATCAGGTTGACATTGCCAGTCACGTTGATACCGTGTCCCTCACAATGTAATGTGATGTCCGCGGCACTTTACCTCTGCGGTGTTCTTCCCCCCAAAATCCATGAAGCCAGTCTTAATAGTGAGAAAATACCAGACAGACACCAAATGAAGGATATTCTGGAAAGTGCCTGGCCAGTAAGTTTCAAGTGTCTCAGCCGTGAGAAATAAATAAAGACTGACAAACTGTCATAGAAATATGGTATTGTGTAGAGATCCCGAACATCTGTGCTAGGTCAACTTCAGAAATTTAGGGATGAATTGAAAATACAACTTTGGAAAGCAGAGAAATAGCCAAATGATTTTTGCTCTTGACATACTCTGCATTCAGGAGCCTTGGGTAAGTGAGGGGTTATCTGTCGCCTGCCCTGTGTACCATGGGGTTTCTGTACCCGTAAGTAGTAGCCTGTTAGGCAGATTCTTCAGAATGAAGTATTAGGTGTTTCAACGTAGTCCTATTTTGGAGATCAATGAAAATTACTTAAAAGAATAACAAATGAAACATTTGAAGTAAGTCATCGTGTTAGCTGCATTGTGCTACGTAAGGAACTTTCAGATAATATTTTATTTTCGTTCATTAAATTTGAATATATGGTAAGTGCAACTTATTGTTTGTTTCTGATGTTTTAGGGTAGAGACCCAAGAAAGCAATGGTAATGTTGTCAGTCATCACAGAATCTTACCAGGTTGTAAGAAACACAAACACACCCGTGTGTTATCGTATTTAATGTAAAAAATGGTCTATGTTTAGCCTGTACTTTTGCTGAAGTATTGCCTCCCAACATATCACCCCTTAGCCAAGGTACAAACGTGTAGGTTGGTGTGTGTATTTTTATTTTTTGTTTTGATATCTTGCTTATTTTCACTTATAAAACCTTAGAAGCAGAGATTGTCTACTTCCTGAACATGTGTGCGTATCCACATGAGCTGTCCTGCATCCTGAACTCAAGGACTAAGTGTGGCTGTGGTTACTTAATGACTCTTACATGTGAGCAATTCAGTGATCTTTTTGGGTTTTTTGTTTTCCAGAGTTGCCACGATGGAAGTCACACCAAAAAAAAAATTCACAGGAAAAGGTACAAAGACATCCCAAGAGAAAAACAGATTTTATAAAAATAATGGTAAGATAGTTTTACCAAAATATGCTCCCATGTGGCTTGTTAGGCCCTTATAATTGAAGGAAGGGGTCTGTGGGATGGAGGGACATGTAGCAGATTGCAGTCTGTATTTGTGGGATAGGATTAGGATTAGGATTAAAATAATAGAAAAGTTGGTGTAACTGTGTATGGATGTGCATGTTCCCTGTGAAGCCAAGACACTTAAGAAATTGCCAGGATACTTGGGGGTGCTATACTCCCTCCCCAGAAGGCTCCTTGTGTCAGCTGGTGATGCTGTTAACTCATGTTAGTCACGCTAAGTCCCCACATTTTATTTTAATGTTTGATAAATTGTAGCTGACTAATCCTGCTGGTAAACAACATACTTTTACCTTCAAGATTTCTAATTGTGATGTCTGTATTATTCCATGAGGTGTCAGTGTTGTAAAATAGAAAAGTCAGAGTCTGTGTAAATGAGTAAACGTTTCCTAAGTAATCTTTTTTTTTTGTTTGTTTTCTTAACAGCAGTCTTAGGGCAGAGCTGTTACCATTTTCACTTAATTTGTTAGGTACTTAATTTTCAGGCTTCATTAACCAAAGGAGATTTTTGTCAAATAACTTTATTATAGACTTTGAAAATTCAAAATTAGAAATTTTGAAAATTAACATCTTTAATTTGATGATATGGTATATCTCCTAAATTCCAAGTGTTTGGTTTACTGTTAAACTTCTTATGATGTTATTAGAACTTTTAAAATTAAGAATAAAGACTTTAATGACATAGTTATCAAAATAGAATACAAAGGTATATAAATAATACTTCCTTTCTATTCTATGCTTAAAATAGAGAAATACACCAAACTATCTTTAGAATTATAGTTTTTATTATACATTTTTCTATAGGCTTTCTATAATGAATCTATTATTATAATTCTGTGATCAGAGAAAGTTTTTAAATTTTGTTTTGGTATTTTAAATCTTACTCTACTCCATACTTGAGAGTAAGACAAAGTATGTTTTACTAAAGAGGGTAAAATTGTAACAAATACAACTCAGTGGATAAAAGAGATCTAGGCTCAGGATCATTGAACTAATAATTATTTATTACTGTCACTAGATTCTGGTTCTTCAAAGACATTCCCAAGAAAAGTTGTTAAGGAAGGTGGGCCTAAAATCACATCAAAGAACTTTCAGAAAAGTGCCACAAAACCAGGGAAAAAAGGTGTGAAGCAGTTCAAGAATAAGCAGCAAGGAGACAAAATACCAAAGAACAAATTCCAGCAGGCAAATAAATTCAACAAGAAGAGAAAATTCCAGCCAGATGGAAAAAGTGATGGTGAGCGCTGATTGCTCCAGTGGAGTTGTGGCGGAAGCCGTGCCCTGCCAGAGCTGTGGCCAGAACCTCGGGGCGCAGGGACTCTGGAAGCCTGTTAGACACCTCCCATTCCTGTTCCTTGACAGGCAGTATTTGGGGTGGGGGTGAAGAGGAGATAGGATTAAATAAACAATCGGAAGCATCTTCCTTGGTCATAAACGTCCTCCAGTGCTTAGTGTTCCTTTTGTTTTAGTCCCTTGATGAATGACCCTAGCTGTAGAGTTAAGCTACATTGTAATGGCTTTATACAGAGGAATCTTAATATAACAGTCCTTTTTGTAGGCTAAGATTTATTAATACAGTCATTTATTAAACAAACAAATATTTGAGTTTTCTGTGCACTGTCTCAGGAGATGGGGGAAGGGGGCTTAACCAGTAAGTGCACAAGCCCTGTCTAATCAGCACAGAAGCTGGTTTTAAGTAATTAACGTGTCCAGCTAAATACATATCTGTGTTGGCTAAGGAGGTCTTGGTGAACAAGAGACATATAGACCCTGTTTTCACAGAGCTTAGGCCACTCTAATATATTGGTCAACCCATCAGGTGGCTCAGATCCCCAGGCAGTTCCAATGAAGGTGTAGTGTACACATGGCATGTTTCACTCTCATGGCTTCAGGACATGTTGCTAACTGACGGAATGTACTGGTAGGGCTCCTGTTTGTTGAAACAAACTGCCTCAGTATGTTCATCATGATAGTCCAGGGGTCATTTCTAACCCAGAGTTTTGCTGTCTATTGTACGTGTCCCTTTCGTGTGTTATCTTGCACTTGTCTCCAGGTTACATGTGCTGCCATATGTATACCTTCTCTGCAGCATCATGAGAATTTCTCTGTTGTCTTTCATTCTCTTTTTCTCCAACATGGCATATCCTGACCCAGTTCCTTTGCTGTCGACCGAGACTGTCGCCATCCCTCCTTCTCAGTGCCGTTCCCTAGCCGTGGTCCCTGCTCTGTGCTCTGCCTGGAGCTATTCCCTAGAGGGATAGCAGCCTTAAGGCAGGAGGGTTGGGGGAGAGGAAGGAAGGGAAATTTTTCATTGTTTTTCATTATACCTGCAGGTCCTTTCATTTGCTCCCGTTCCAGTGTTTTCTCTTGATCCCCTTTTCTTCCTCTTTTCTCCACTTCCACACCCCATAGTTTCTCTTTCAGGTTCTCTTTCTTATCTCCTCCTTGCTACCCTCTCTCATAGCTCCTGAATCTTCCTTTCACTACTGGAATTCTTGGCACCTTCATTTTAAACACTTACGTTCTCGCTTTAAGATCCTGTCACGCTGTACTCTGGTTCTTTTTGCTATGGGAGATATGTTCCCTGACATCTCCAAATGGAACTCTGATTTTATTTTCCATATTTTTATGCTAGCAACTGAGGGAGATGGGATACTAGACATCCCCAAAATTGGTATATCTACTGCAGCCTAGCATGGCATATGTCAAGGGTACCCAAATGTCGGTGGAATTAAATGATCTCTGAATCAGTTACTGACTTTGCTGTATAGTACATGGTGGTCTAATAATAATGATAAACATGCTCTGTGTTACCCACTACCCTCCATTACCAGGCCAGGAATAAGTAAACAGTAAGGGGAATGATTATGTTGTATATTGTAAAGCCATTAAAAATTAAGTTTTGACAAATATTTATTTTCATGGAGGAATGCTTAAAATACAGTTATTAAGTTTGAGTGAAGACAGTATGATTCTGAAATTTTTGGAAGAGTAATATAAAACATGCATAGAAAAAAGACAGGAAGAGCATAAAATGTTAATGGTTATATCTAAGTTTTGGGATTATAGGAGAATTTTGTTTTTGCATTTTCTAAGTTTTTCATAGTGTGTTTTCTAATCAGCGAAAGGGAGATATTTAGAAAAAAATTTTTTGGAATATAAATAATATTATTTTAGCTTTTGCTCTAGTTTTTTTTTCCTTTGCCCATTTTTATTTTTTCTTTTTCTTTTTTTATTGTTATTCTATTACAGTTGTTCTAGTTTCTCCCTTTTCCCTTCTCTATCCATTCCACCCCCAGCTCCCACAGTCCATTCCCACACCATGGTCCATGTCCATGGGTCATTCATACATGCCCTTTAACTAGTCCCTGCCCCTTCTTTCCACTGTTGTCCTCCTCCTCCCTCCCCACTTGTCACTGTCAGCCTGTTCCACGTTTCCATGCCTGTGGTTCTGTTTTACTTGTTAGGTTATTTTGTTCATTAGATTCCTCTTATAGGTGAGATCATAAGGGTTTTGCCATTCGTTGACTGGCTTATTTCACTTAGCATAACGCTCTCCAGTTCTGTCCATGCTGTCACGGAGGGGCGGAGTTCCTTCTTTCTTTCTGCTGAATAGTATTCCATTGGGTAAATGTACCGCAGTTTTTTAATCCACTCATCCACTGGTGGGCACTTAGGTTGTTTCCAGCATTTGGCAATTGTAAATAGCTCTGCTATTAACATAGGCGTGCATAGGCTCTTTTGAATTGGTGATTCAGGCTTCTTAGGGTACCTTCCCAACAGCGAAATTGCTTGGTCAAAAGGCAGTTCCATTTTTAGTTTTTTGAGAAAATTCCGTACTATTTTCCACAGTGGCTGCACCAGTCTGCATTCCCACCAGCAGTGCACTAGGGTTCCCTTTTCTGCACGTTGTAACTAGCACTGGTTTATAGATGTATTAATGCTGGTCACTCTAACTAGTGTGGGGTTAATATCTCATTGTGGTTTTAATTTGCATGTCTGATAGCTAGTGACATTGAGCATCCTTTCATATACCTATAGGCCATCTGTATGTCCTCCTTGGAGAAGTCTCTTTAGGACCTTGGCCCATTTTTCAATTGAATTGTTTGTCTTTCTAGTGTTGAGTTGTATGAGTTAAAACTAATTCTCCAAAAAGTTCTTTGCAGGATACTCATGTTAACAATACACATTTTATTTTGTTGTTTTTTGACCTCATTCAGACTTCTTGGTTCAGTTGGTAAGTTATTTAGATTTTGAGGACAAGAAATACTAATAGACACTTGGCTTTTATAGAAATATTCTGTTTGTAGAGACCTAGGAATTTTGATGGTGCATAGTCATGAGTAAGAGGCAGCAGAGCAGGAAGTTTCAGAGTTGCCTCTGGATTTGAATCCTGGCTCTGCCACTTAATTAGCTGTGTGACCTTGAACTAGGAGCTTAACTGCTTGATGCCTTTGTTTCCCCTATGTGAGAGAGAGAGTAATAATAGTACCTTCCTCTTAGCAAGTTTCTAGGAATTTTTCTTTTTATTCTCACCCAAGGACATGCTAATTGATTTTAGAGAGAGAGAGCAAGGGAGGGAGGGAGAGGGAGAGAGAAACATAAGAGGGAGAGAGAAACATCAATTGGTTGCCTCCGTAAGTACCCCAGTGGGGGCCGGGGGGGCAAGCCCACAACCTTTTGGTTTATGGGATGATGCTCCAGCCAACTGAGCCACACTGGCTAGGGCACAAATTTCTAGTATTCAGTACAGCATTTAGGATAGTCCTCTTGCTATACATTGTCTCTGGACTTACTTATCCTTTGTAACTGCAACTTTGTACCCTTTGACTGACATCTTTCCATTTTTCCCTCCTCCCTGCCCCTGGTAACTGCTGTTCAACTCTCTGCTTCAATATATTTGACAATTTTAGATTCTGCATGTAAGGTCTTATGGTCTTTTGTCCTATGTATACCCCAGAACTCATCTTGTTAAAAAAAAAAAAAGTACTCACCTTAGAGGAGAGTTGTTGTAAGAATTAAATGACTTAATATATAGTAGCACTCAGAATAGTGAATTTTTTATTACATTGTATTTCCTGTTTTTATTTGGACTAATGTAGACTAATTTTTGTTTGCCTGAAGAACTTATACCTAACATCCAATGAACTTAAAAAAGATGCTTAAAAGTTTTGAATTGCTTTTACCATTCTTTTGGTTTCCTTTTTTTTTCCTTAGTAGGTATCTTCGTAAGAATCAATAAATAGCTGTTGAATGAATGGATGGCTAGTTTCAATGAAACTTAAAATATATAAACTGCTCAGAAAATGAAATAAAGTATAAGTCTGTGGAGAACATTTTCCCCCATCTAGTTTCCTCATTGAGTATATATAGATCCTGATCAGTGATTGCTTTATGTACCTGATTTGTACTTGTTTCTGGCACTCAAAATGTTAAATGTAATTGGAAATAATTTTTATAATGAGTAGAATCAACAGCCAAGAAACCCAAATGGGATGATTTCAAAAAGAAGAAGAAAGAACTGAAGCAAAGCAGACAACTCAGTGATAGAACCAACTATGACATTGTTGTTCGGGCAAAGCAGATTTGGGAGATCATACGAAGGTACTGCTATGTAATAGCATCTTTGTTACTTTGTAAATAGTGAGATGTCCTAAAGTAAATGACACAGTGCTTGGATTATTTGGGGAGGACACATAGCACTCCAGTAGAGGACTCAGTATTTGGATGTCTGCTCGTTGCACAAATGTGGGGAATCTTTAGGATGGTGTCAGATAGATATGTTTAGGAAAATATATGAGAACTAAATTAGATTTGACATTCTTCCTGGAAGATTTCTGAAAAAATGAAGGGCAATTTCTTATCAACTTGTTTTGAGATACTTAAGTATTTGGTATCTTGCACTTGTTTTATTTTTATTTTTTTACTTTTGAAGTTCTAGCTGTTAAAATTTAGATTGATATATGAAATTATACCTTGTGAGATGAGTTTCTGCCTTTGAGAAAATTACTTTTCTCTGGCTGCTCTGGAATAGTAATCTTAATGTCAGAAGGTTTGCTGCCTTCAAAGAGAAAGTCACACTTAAGTGGGTGAACATATACTAAAACAGGTTTCAGTTTTGCATACTTAAAATAATGTCTTTACTTAAGCTATGTTTACTCCTTTTATTCTCTTTTATAGAAAAGATTGTGACAAAGAAAAAAGAATGAAGTTGCTAAGTGATTTGCAGAAGTTGATTCAAGGAAAAATTAAAACTGTAAGTAGGGCATGCATACATTTGCAATTTTAACAATTAAAATTGACTTACTCTCAATAAAGTGTAGCTGACCATTTATGACAGGAAATTGTTATTTTAAATATACTTGCCCAAAAATTTCAAATACTGACTAAAGTTTAATGACAGAATTTATTGTTGGAAAATTATAAAAAGACTGTGAAGTATTTGGGCGTGTCATTTTTAAATAATTTACTTAAAATAAATCAGTGTTCTTTATTCTGAAGATTTTATTAGTTCAGTAGTACATGTTAGAATGTTTTGCTCTGAACTCAATATACTTTTTTAAAAAATTTATTTATTTTTTCAAATACATTTGTCTCCACCTTCCCCCCACTTTCCACTGCTCCCTCCCCCCCTCATACTTTTTTCCATCACCATTTATCCCGCAGTACCCTCTTTCCACCCCTACCCACCCTCGTTTTGGTCACCACATTGTTGTCTGTGTCCATGAGTTCTTTCTCTTTTTTTTTCTTTTTTGCTCTATCCCTCCACCCATCCTGCTGTCTATGACTGTCTATTTTGCTTTTTTGTTAGTTCAGTTTATTTACATTAGAGTCCACATATGAGTGAAATCATACAGTATTCGTCTTTCTTCAACTGGCTTTTTCACTCAGCACAGTGTTCTCCAGGTCCATCCTCCATGTTCTTGCAAAGGGTAAAATTTTCTTCTTCCTCTTCTTCTTTTTTTTTTTTTTTTTTTTTTTTTTTTACAGCCGAGTAGTATTCTGTCGTGTAAATGTAATATAGCTGTTTTTGCCATTGATCTACTGATGGACACTTGGACTGCTTCCAGATCTTGGCTATTGTAAATAACACTGCAATGAACATAAGGGCACGTGTATTTTTTCAAAATAACGTTTTGAGTTTTTTTAGGATAAATTCCCAGAAGTGAAATCACTGGGTCATAACTTCGTGAACTTTAGTATATTCTAAATTGCTGGCTTTGTGTGTGTGTGCATGTGATGCAAGCATGATTCCTTCTTTCTTTCGTTCCATGCTTTTATAAATATGCAGAGATCTTTAAAATGTAATTGACTTGGGAGTTATAATGTAATTTTCATTATTGCTGTTTAGTCCTGTTTTATAATAAACTTCTGTTGACTTGTGTGTATTTGGATAAATACTTAGTGACCATTCACTTGTAAGACAACAGACTCGACAGCTTTGGGGGCTCTGGAGCAGCAGCATGTGCCAAACTGCATACATAGGTCTAACAAAGACTGCGTTGCAGTTCAAAGGAATGTCTTGAAATAGCAATTCCCAGCTGCTGCTTTCTTATAAATCCAGCAAGGTCATTTAAAAAAAATTTTTAAGTTGATTTTAGTGAGAGAGAGGGAGAGAAAGAGGGAAAAAAAACATCAATTTTTGTTGACCACTTACGCATTCATTAGATGATTTTTGTATGTGCCCAGACTAGGGATTGAACACACAACCTTGGTGTGTCGGGATGATGCTCTAACCAGCTGAGCTACCTGCCCAGGGCTCCAGCAAGATCTTTTTAGAATAGAACTGCTCCTCTGCTCCAGCAGCCTATTTTCTATTTATAAATATTTTACACTCAAGATCCTTTTCTAGTTACTTTTAGGTTATTACTACATGCCTGTGGACATGGTAGTTAGTGTGGTGTTTAAATCTGGTGTTCAAATCACTCTGCTGCTTAACATGTGTGTGCCTTTAGACGATGACAACCTCATTATTATTTATTGTGTGCTAGGTGTTGTGCTAACCAAGGCATATGTTACCTTCTTTACCTTAAAGGTCATTATCACCGTTAGACGTTTCATACATCTGGGACTCAGACAAGTTAACTTTCATCTCCAGGGTCAAAGAGATAGCAGATTCTTTAGCTTCTCATAAACTTACTTTTCTCACCTGTAAAGTGAGCATAACAATAGCCTACTCTTTAAGTTGCTTTGAAGTCTAAATAAGAAAAATATATTTATAGTACATATAGTAAGTAGTCAATATATGCACTGAAACAGCCTTATTTTCAGAAAAAAATTTTTTTAGTTTTAATCATAAATGTATATAAATATCCCTAAAGGAAATTCTTCTGAAGTCTATGGCTTTGATGGGTGTGTGCCTTCACATTCTGATTGTAAAGACGGACTGAGCAACAAATAATAAGCACTATTGAAGTAGACTGTGCTGTAGTATAGTAAAAAATAATGTTGCGTGACTGCTTGTTTGCGGTTATTGCTGTAGAAAATTGATCAGTGAGTCCTTTATTGAGGACCTCATCCATCCAGTTGTGAGGAGGAGGTGGGCTGGGGAATCAGATTTTCAATACAAGTTTCTAAGAATATAATTGGTTGTGTTCAGGGAATCATAATGAGAATGTGAGAAAGGCAATGTATGTAATAGGTTTATTTGCTTATGTAGCAAGACGTTTTTTAGATCTATCTTATATCTATATCTTTGATTGCTAAAGTGAAACATTCTTAGATTTATAAAATCATAGAATAATAAGATTTTTGAATTTCCCTTATAGGGAAAGTAGTTTTCAGAGAAAGGGGAAATACAGTGTGTATAATCATTAGATAGGTTTGGTTTGATTTTTGGTTTTAATTAATAATGACAGGAATCTTGCAAAATGGTTAAATCTGTCCCTGTCTCAATGCCATATGGTAGGCAGCAAAACCAAAGAATGCCATTTTGTACAATTAAAACGAGTATATCTACTCCCTAGTAACCTAGATTTAATTTTATCCTTAGAGACCCTACCTTTTTTCTAACAAGGAGTTCTGAAAGAGGTAGCAATAAAGCATAAATAATATGATAGAAACATAAACTCCAGGGAGAATTAGTCTAAAGGCCCAAACCATCTTTCCTCCAGATTGCATTTGCACATGATTCAACCCGTGTGATCCAGTGTTACATTCAGTATGGCAACGAAGAACAGAGAAAGCAGGCTTTTGAAGAACTACGAGGTATTTCTTATATTTTGAAGATTAATTGTAATCATTTGTAATGAGTCACTTGTTTTATCTTGAAATACCCAAGATTATGCTGGAAAATAATTCTGTTGTGAAAAAGCAGTGTGTCCTCTATAGAACCTTTTTTGTTTTTATTTATTTATTTGTTTTTTTGCCTGATACAAAGTGTTAGTTGTTTGTATTCCCAGAATTATGCATTTATTTAGTTCTTTCTTTTGTTTCTAAGGAATAATTGTGATGTATTTTGTTTTTCAGATGATTTGGTCGAACTAAGTAAAGCTAAATATTCCAGAAATGTTGTTAAAAAATTTCTCATGTATGGGTGAGTTGTTTTATTTATAGAATACTTTTATTAGTTTTGTTAAAGGTGTGGATACTGATTGTTTGTAAATGTTACTTAAAAGTCTATCACCATAACAATAACCTTCAACAGATGCTTTTAATGTTTCCAGGGAGTGTAGTCTTAAAAACAATTATTGAAGTTAATGTAAAGCAATGATACTGCCTTCACCATTCTTAGGAGTATATCTTGAAGTCCTGGAAGAAGAGAACTAGGATGAGGAACATGTAATTCGTTACCAGTATTTAGAAGGTAGTCGGTTGTGAGGGGCTGGTGAATACACAGAGGCAGAGTCATTGGGTCAGGAAATGTGAAGATGGGAGGATTTTCTGAAATAGGTAAAATTGATACTTGTCATGGTTTCTCTTTTTGAGTGTAATGTGTAATAAATAATGTGCCAAAATATGCTAATCAACAACAAAAAAAGTACAATTGGCAAAACTTTCAAAAACTATTCCTGACTATAATTATCAGCTACTTGATTTTAGGATGTAATATAAATACTTGTGATTAAGTTCTGTTTTAAAAGAGCATCTTTAGAATATGTTTTATTGATATTTCCATGCTTCTTTGACTTTTACCTTCTCTTTTCTCCTTCCCTACGTTTTTCAAGCTGAACAATTTAATAGAAACTGACATTTACTGAGCACTTACAGGGTCTGGCAGAAGCACCACCTGCTTGATTGTGGTTGGTAGAGTAATAGTATGGGTGTACTAATTTATAGTTTTAATTTGAACATTTCACCTAAAATGTCATATGGTGTGCTTGAGTGTAATATTGTTATGTTACAGAATTACATGCTTATAATTTTGTAATAAAAGATTTTGTAATAGAAAGGGCATTATTTGTGCCAGACCCTGTATTACAGGCTGGTCACAGTTCCTGGTACATAACTCATTTAATCCTTACATCAACCTTATTCTCTCTATTTTATGAATGAAGAAGCCAAGGCACAGAGAGTTTAAATAACTTGTTCAGGGTTTTGCAGCTGGTAAGCAGAGCCAGATTTCGGCTCCTGGGTAACTTTGAAAGCTTGAGGTAGAAAATAGAAGGCCGTGCGATTTTCTTTCTCATACGCGTTGCCTGTGGTAGACCCCCACCACTGCCCAGTGATGAGTTGGTCTCAGGAGGTGTCCAAGTTATGTTGGTGTCAAGTTATGTTTCATGGTCTCCCAGCTTTCTTCTTGTATCACTTATCTTTCCCCCTTATTGCACTGGATTTAGGAGTAAACCACAGATTGCAGAGATAATACGAAGTTTTAAAGGCCACGTGAGGAAGATGCTCCGACACGCGGAAGCATCAGCCATCGTGGAGTACGCGTACAATGACAAAGCTGTTTTGGAGCAGAGGAACATGTTGACAGAGGAGCTCTATGGGAACACGTTTCAGCTTTACAAGGTAACATTTTAAGGCTTTTTTTTTTTTTTTTTAAGTATCTTTACTTTCTCTATGTGTTCTTACTTACCTTTTGATGCCCTGATTTCAGAATGTATTTTTACTTTGGCTGGTCCTTTAATCTTAAAGGACCCTTTTTCTCATGGATTATTTTTTCTACAGTGTAGTGAGCAAGTGATGATACTTTCTCTTTCACCTGGAGCACTATTTTTAAATCCCCTTTAAATTGAACTACTTTTGTAACTCCCTCCCAAATGCTACGTGTAATGCTTCAGACTTCCATTTCTATAGTCATATAGACCGAGGCAGAAGACTCTTTAACAGCGTAGCTTTGTAAGTACACCCTACAGCTCTGATAGAAGTGCATCGGGCTCCCTGTTGCTGCCTTTTCCTGTGTTCCTTCACCTGTGGGTTATCCTTCTCCAGGTGGTGTCTAGGGAAGAAGGGGAGTAGAGAGACCCAACCTTGCATATAGTACAGGGATTGAACCTGGAAAAGGCCAATAAAGGACTACTATGTTTAAAGGATCTATGTCAGACCTTGGGACATAAATGGCCACACTTACTTCCAGGGAAATGGATTGATTCCTGAGTTGTCTCTACTACTCAGATTCAGTTCCTGGGTTGAATTTAGTGCTTTATTTCTTTTGTAACAGTCATTGTATGAATGTGTAGGTAAGTACCAAACACATGGTGGCAAGAATTTACAAACTGATTACTTGATTTTGTGAGTAGGCTACGCTAGGCGCTTGCCAGGTACCTGTTGGCTGGGTGAGTTGGTTGGTTGGTTAGCCTGGCTATTTAAGTGCATTGGTGAGCGTGCACACTGAGAATCAGATAATCAAGAATTACTCCATGAGTGTATCTGCAGTAGGGCTTTTGTTATGTGAATATGGAAATCTAAAACTTAAGTTTGCCTGCGATTGATTTCCTTTGTTATGAAGCTGAAGAAGCTTGATTAAATTTAGAAGGATTTGATTTTTCTTCTTTTGCAGTCAGCAGATCATCCAACTCTGGACAAAGTATTAGAAGTACAGCCAGAAAAACTAGAGCTTATCATGGATGAAATGAAACAGATTCTAACTCCAATGGCTCAAAAGTAAGAAAGACACTTTTATTTTTCTTAACAAATAGCATTTGAAGGAGGAAAGTTTTATATAGCCCTTGCACAGAAAGGATGGATAGTTTTCCAGATACAATGTGTTATTTCATTTGGATTGTAAGACTTAGAAATAGGGCATGTGATCTTCTGGGAATTTGGGCCATGGTGAAGTGGTTAAGGTGTGGCCTGAGATCAAACGGCCTGGCTGTGAATCCTGGTAACCCTCTCAATCACTAACTGTGCAACCTTGGGTGACTTAACTGCTCTGTGCCTCAGTTTCCACATCTATAAAATTGGGTTGATAACAGTATGTATTTCGTAGAATTTCATGAAGATTTAATAGGTTGATGTTTCTAAAACACTCAGAATACCGCTTTGCCCATGAAAGCAACATGTTTCTGCCATCTACTTAGATACTCAGGGTGAACTTGAAGTCTTTGGTGCCTGATCATCACCCTCCGCTGTACACCTGAATTCACCAAGTGTCACACCAGGAAGCTTGGGTCAACTAGGTGTTTCATTTGCTGATTCTGTTTTGATCTACTCAGGTTTTCACTTTGCTAAAATTATTTTATGAAACTGATGCATTGTGAAGGATGCTTGACAGCAAATAGCTGTAAAAAGTGGGTCCACATATAGATTTCTAATCATATGTGCGTTGTTTGGGTAACAAAATATAGATGTCCTTATTTAAGAGAGTGTATTTTGAATGATTTCACCTTTGTTGATTAAACATTAGAAATTTGTACCCTGGTTTTGGTCATAGATGGCAGGCACTAAAATATTTTTATAGTCTAAAAGGTTTTTTTTAATCTTCATATTGCTGAAAGATACAGTCTGCCATCTCACAAATTACATTTGCTAGAACTATTTCACTTGCTTTGATTACTTTAGGACAGTTGCGGTTGCCCAAACCTGTATTACTGTAGCACCAGATCTGACATATTCTCTTCTCCCTTTTTTGTTTTCAGGGAAGCTGTGATTAAGCACTCATTGGTACATAAAGTATTCTTGGACTTTTTTACCTATGCACCACCAAAGCAAAGATCAGTAAGTTCTTGGTTTTAGTTTTTAAGCAAAAACAGAAGTGCCATGTGAATATGTAAAACACTTGCTTTGATATATCTTGTCTTTTAGAAATTTTGAAGTGATTTACTTAAAGAAGATAATGCACTGAACTTCCTTTGAGCAAGTCTGCTAATTGCATTTAGATTTTTCCTTGAAGACAATAGAATTGACCACAGTTTTATCAACTCCACTGAATTTTTATATTTTAATTATAACCCAGAGTATCCTCTAGCTAATAACCTAATCTAAAAATTAACCAACAAATAGAGGGATATTCAGCCTCCAGGGAGTTTGAAATCACTTGTGCCAATAGAAAAAAATTCTGTTGGTGTTAAAAAATGAGAGGACACTTAGGCAAAACTAAATGGACCATGAAAAATTGGACCTTTTATGGTAGAGGGAAAAGAAACAGATTGAAGGTAAGTTGCATTGCCTTCAAGTCAGTGATACAGGGAATACAAATGAGAAGTTGTCGTTTAATGCCCTGAAATTTGCTTGCCTTATTTGGTGAACTCATTTTCCATTTGTCTTCTTTCTAATAATAAGAAATAACTAAAATAATGACACTGACTTCTCTTTTCTTTTTTGATTTAATCTTTATTGTATTTTTTCCCATTACCTTTCAGTCCCCTTATAACCCCTTCCCCCCAGACACTTCTTAACAAATATACCAGACTAAACATTCATAGGAATTTTGACCCTCCCAAAATTGACATACAAAATAATTTTCCATGAATAACCACCCACCTAAGCTTGTGGTTCAGTGACTAGCAGCTGCTGCTTCTCTTCTGGGGCATTCTTTCTCTTTCCTACAGAGTATAGTATCTCCCAATTCTAGATTTACTGAGGCAGGACCATATTTTCAGAACTGAAAAAATGATCATTTGAATATATTCAGTGGTGGGAAATCTTTCTCTTTAGAGTTAAATGTATTTTAGTAATAGCAAAAAGAAAAAGAAAAAAAAATCATTGGGAACCTAATGTGAATATAAAGTAATGAGGCAAATCTTTTCTGGCCCTGGGGTATTTTCCAAAGAGAGACTTAAAAAAACCCCCAAGAAACCTTTGAGAATTGTGGAAGCATAATTGGAATATGTGTATAACTCTCCAACTGGATAGCTTTGAAGAGACTTATAAGTTTAGGTACGTAAGTTGAAAGCTGTGTTGTTGAGATTCACCCTGGGTAAGGATTATAAGATAGGTAGGGGTGAAATTGCTTGTTCCTTATTGAGGAAAATAGGCATCTGCTTCCTCCCCTGGCAGGAGGCCTTATACTTATTTATTTAATATATGTTTTAAAATTGGGAATGGACTAAAATGGGCCCCTGCAGTTGTTAACCGCCTGAATTCACGCTAGACTTCCAAAATATAATTTAGAAATTGTATGCATTGACAGTGAGGGATAAAGATTAAAAATAAGCTAAACTGCCTTGTAAGAAATAATGATTGAATTTTCACTAAAGGGTCATTGATAGTGTGGGCCTAGTCTAGTATAGAGATTAATTTTATGGGGAAATGTTATTTAGTGTTTTTATGGTGAGTTATTTAATTTCTGGAAGTAATCCAGTGATAAACTAAAAAGAGAAACTTTTTCAGCCAAAATTAGTGTTTTGGTTCTCTACTCTTATATACAAGTCTGTTTCAGGAAAAAGCATTTTATTTATTTTATCTGGCTTTTCTGTTACCTTCTTATCACAGCCACATCCTAGCCTCCTTTTTTTTTTAATCTTTTAGAGTATACTGTACATGTACATTCTTTGAACAAGCCTTGTATTGTAATATAGACATATTTTATAAAATAGACATGCATTTTAATACAAATTGCTTGTCAGCAGTATTTTCTACTCTAGATGGAAAAGTATGTTCCTAAAAAGATATGTCTGTGCTTGTCTACAGAATGAAAAATTAAATTGTTTGCTAATCTTTTTCATTGTCTGAGCTTAACTGCTTCCAGTAAACAGATTTTTTTAAAGGCAGAAAGAAAGAATAAACCAAAGCCTTGGTGCCGTTTGTTCCCCAGGAAATGATTGAAGCCATCCGTGAAGCAGTGATATACCTAGCGCACACACATGATGGCGCCAGAGTGGCCATGCACTGCCTGTGGCATGGCACGCCCAAGGTAAGTGTGGCGGGGCTTGGCTTGCCTTGCCTTTCCTTAGACTTTATGCCTCCTTTGGTCTTAACCCTGTTGTGCATAAACAGCTTTGCAAAGTTGTATCTCAGGGCCTCACAGGAAATGGCCTTCTTTGGACCTAGTGTTTCTTCTCTGCTGGAGTTTTCATTAAAGTATGAAAACCTTGAGTTGTTATTGTTTGGAAAGGGACCTGCCAAGCAAATAAATACAGTATTTATGTTAGACTCACATTTATAGAAGTTTGGTACCTGTCAGGCTCTTTGATTCCTCATTTAATGATCTTAATAGGGGAGGGAGAGGAGGAAGAAGATAGTGAAGAGTTACACATTTGCTCAAATGGGTGTTAAGTACTTTGAGGGGAAAGGTAGAAGTCCCTATTAATTACAGAAGTTTAACAGAACTGATTCTCATTTCTTTGATCAGTAGAATTCTGCCTTAAAAGATAGCTGTACTTTGTCCACTTTTTAAAATTAATGTATATTTAATTTCTATTCAACAAATATGTATTGAATGCCATGGACTTTATATATTTGAAGACAGTTCAGACACTGGTAGGGGATCTTGCAGTTCTCACTGTAAAAGGACGTACAAGTCTAAGATTCCAAGAGCTCTGAAAGGGCTAATAGTATATTGCAATTTTTGTTGTTGTTGTTGTTGTTCTGGCTGCAGTGGGCCCCTGCAGTTGTTAACCGCCTGAATTCACAGTAGACTTCCAAAATATAATTTAGAAATTGGTGGTTGGAAATATAATTTCCAAATATTGGGGGTTTCTTGACATGCTTTTGTTACTGCAGTCCTTTTCTATTTATAAGGACTTATTTTATGGCCTAATGTGATCTATCTTAGTATGCTAAAAAGAATGTGTTTCGTGGAGTTATAGGGTGTAGTACTCCATAAATGTAAATCAGATTTATGTGGTTGATAATGCTCAAATAATTGTCAATCAAGCTTAATGGGACTGTTTTCACTGATGAAAAGTATCTCATTCCAATGACAGTTCAAAGTTATATAAAACTTTGCCTGCAAATACCTTTAGTGTATAATTAAAAGTTGAGACAATTTTTCTTTTTTAAGGACAGGAAAGTGATTGTGAAAACAATGAAGACTTATGTTGAAAAGGTGGCTAATGTAAGTATTAAGAAACTACATGTTTTTAAAATGATTTTTAATAAAATGAAATCATGTCCATTATAGAAAATTTGAAAAATTCAGAAAATTACCAAGAAATTTACTCATTGTTTTATTGCAGTCTTTTTCTATGCATATGTATGCATTTTTAGATATTAAATTTACACAAAGTGAAATTTCTCCATTATTCACTTAACATTGTATAGTGACAAAAGTTTCATTTTTATTAGATATTTTTGAAGACCTGATATTTACTACCTTATTTAATAAATTTGTCCAATCATATTATTAAACATGGAAATTACTACCTGGAATAAATTCTAATGAAGTTTTGTAGTGTTTTAGAATCCTTTGGAGATTCTGTAACGGCTTTTCTGGTAAAATATGAGGAGGTTATTTAATGCCTCATTTTTCTGAGGCATTAAATAACCTCCAAAAATAGTATTTCCATGTATTTAAATACTAAATAGTTTCCCGTAGTATTTCTAGAATGCAGAGTAGGGCAAAAGTAGGTTTACAGGTGTTACTATGGAAAATAATATAATAATTAATAAATAATAATACCAGAATAAACTGTTTCATGTACTTACAACTGCAAACCTATATTTACCCCACCCTGTTTGTGCAGGAGCAAACAATATAAAAATTTTTCAGTTATTTTATATGTTTTGTAGCTTCTCATTACCTGGTAAACTAAAATTAGTGATATTAGCAACTTTTTCTTATAAAAATCTAATGAGAACTACTAATCTGGGAAATAGTATAGTAAATGCTAATTCAAACACATGCTGCTGTGTGATTGTTTACATACAAAATCTATCCAGTAGGTATCTAGCCACATAATATGAAAAAAAAAGACATTTATTGAAGAAGATACAAGAAACGTTGTACATAGGACAATGACGCCTCAGTCCCCTTCAAAGTAGACACCTTTGGGCCTCACACAGTTCTCCCAGTCTCCATCAGCTGCCCCGTCGTATTTTCCTGAATCTCATCAACAGTCTGAGATCTCTTCCTTTCAAATTTTAGTGATTTTAGTGTTGGGAAAAGCCAGAAGTTGCAGAGTGCCAAATCTGGTTTGTAGTGGGGCCGGATCACCTGAGTGATTTGATGTTTGGCCAGAAAACTCTGCAGGAGACATGACACATGAACGTGCACTCATAAGGAAGCTGCCAGTCACCAGCTGCCCATAGCTGTGGCCTTCTGAATCATCCAAGTAGTTTCCACTGAGGAATGTTCAAGCTTAATGCAAAATTTGATGCAGATTCCATGCTCTACTTGCTTAGTAATTTTGAATGCAATGGCCACACAGTACACATGCTTACCCAGTAGCATCTACCACCCACACTGACTAGTGCTGTGAAGTTGTCATTTTTCATGCATGCACACTGCAGTCCACTCTCCTTGGCTGCCAGGTTACATCGATGTCATGCAAATTGTTGTTGTTACGTTAACAATGGCTGGATTTTTTCCAGACAGACCTTGTACCCTCATACACACTGTCTTCTGTAGGGTTGGAGACCAGGAAGAGAGTATGAAGCTACTTAAAAGGCAGTTAAGTTTTCTGTAACAAAATGAAGTAAGATTCCCTAGTGAGTTGTTTCCAGAGTATGAGAATCTTTTATGATTTATTATTCATCATTAAATAAGTCTTTTTGTATAATATTTCAATTTGAATATTTTAAATTAGAAATGTATAAAAATAGGATGTTAGTTCTGAAATGTATTACGAGTAAAAGACATTTTCAAGTAATAAAATTAGGTTGTTTTAATTTTATAGTTATAACAATATTTTTTTGAGAACTAATCTCTGCAAGGCATTGTGATGGTAACAAGAAATTAACAATGCAATTTATTTTTTATCTCAAGGAATTGCTTCTAAAGGGGGGTGATGAATTAATACGACCCATAGATTTGATTTATGTGTTATTTAGAAGTATTTAATTTCCAAATATTGGGGGTTTCTTGACATGCTTTTGTTATTGCAATCCTTTTCAATTTATAAGGACTTATTTTATGGCCTAATGTGATCTATCTTAGTATGCTAAAAGGACTGTGTTTCGTAGAGTTATAGGGTGTAGTACTCCATAAATGTAAATCAGATTTATGTGGTTGATAATGCTCAAATCATCAGAGTTTTTACTGATTTATATATCTCTGTTTAGTTATATCAGTTGCTGAGAGAAATGTGTTAAGATCTCTAACTGTAATTGTAGAGTTGTCTTATTTCTCACTTAAATTCTGTCCCAACTGCTTTTGTATTCATCTGGAGATGTTTTATGCTTGGGCATGTTTCTGTGTGTAGGGCTTAAAAAATCAGAAATCAGTGCTTGTGTACTGTACATACATTGTTCTCTACTTTGTTTCCTTCACTTATCTCACAGGTCATTTTATTTCAACATTTATATATCTCTCTACCTCACCTTTTTTAATGACTTCATAATATTTCATTATACAACTAACATAATTCACTGAATCAGTCCCCACTATTGGGTACTTGTGTAATTTCTAGCTAATTGCATCTTTAAGAAGTATTCCAGTACATGTCCTTTGTGCACATATGGGAACATGTCTAGAGGATGAATCCAGAACTATAATTGCTGTCAGAAGGTAGATGCATTTTGTTTTTTAGATGTCAGTTGCCCTTAAAAATAATTGAACTACTTAACATTCTCAGCAATGACATAAAAGTGTGTCTGCTTTTTTTCAGACCTTTGCTAAATTAGTGTATTATCAAGGGTTTTCACTTCTGCCTGTAGAATAGGTGGAAAATGCTATTGTATTGTTTTAATTATTGTCCTTAATTATGAGCATTATTTCATGTGGTTCAAGCCATTTGCACTTCTCTTTTTTTTCTGAGAACCAACTGTTCCTGTTCTTTGCCCATTTTTAGTATATTGTTGATCTTTTTATAGTAAAGATATTAGACCTTTGTTATTTTTCTCTGTTTCTAATTGAAATGTTATTACTTGCCATATTCATTAGTCCTGGCTCTGAATGAGGGTTATCAAAATTCAAATCCCCATTCAAAGTAAAAGAAAGGATTCATATTATGTAGGTTACAAAAAGAATATGTCACAAACTCTGAAAGCACTTGTTCTCTTTTTTTTTTTATATAAATAAAGTAGTTCTTTAACTCTGGAACAATATCGGCATCATGGAATAATTCTATCATTTCAGGAGGTGACCTGACCATTGTTAAGGTCACAGTGTATGGTTGTATGATCTCTTGCTGTTATACTTTTTAAAAGTGATTACTTTTATCTTATTCTCATTCATTATATAAGTATATTCTTCTAGTATATTTCCAGACTTTCTCTTCTAATTATGTAGGATTGTTTTAAAGAAATGGACAATATACAAAATAACATGTAAAATCATTTTTATTCTTCAATTCAGAGGTGACTTACATTATAATCTTCAAGAATTTTCTGTGTACATGTATTATATATATTTTGTATATGTATAATTGTATCTGAGTTTACATATTTTACATGATTGGAATTCCATATAATAGTTTTATATTATTGTTTTTTTTTTTTTAATCTATTGAATTTTTTTTTAATTTGATTTTTGTAGTAGGTATTCCTTAACAGGGATACCTATTTTTGCAAGGTGTTAACATCCTCAATAGTTAAAAAAAAATTAATCTGGGCTATTTGAAATTGAAGAATGTGCTTTTCTGTGTGTTTCCTTTTTCCTTTAATCAGCCTAGAACATAATTCACTAGGTCTTGATAAGTACTCCTTTGAATGGCTTCTATCCCTCTTATATTGTGTTGGGCAAGTTGTCAGATTGGTAACCTTTATAAAGTGACTCCATGGGTGGAATTAAAGGGAGAAACTGTGCATTTTTTTTAACCTTTCCTGGCTTTTGATTCTTACAGGGCCAGTACTCCCATTTGGTTTTATTGGCAGCATTTGATTGTATTGATGATACTAAGCTTGTGAAGCAAATAATCATATCAGTAAGTAATTCTCATGGTCTTGAATTTAAGTTAAATTGATATATCATTTGTGGGTTTGTGTTATTTCACACATGTGTGTCAATACTTTGAATTATCCACCTTGACAGTATTTTGTTATTTATTAGATTAGTCTGTTAAGTCTATTTTGGGGATGTGCTTTATTCCTGTATAAACCATAACCTTATAACTTGATATTAATAATTAATATTGTTTAAAATATGTAAAGGAATGGTTAAATTAGGATAAATTAGACCATATGACATACTAAATGAAAAATTAGCAAATACTAGCTTCCTTTTTACATTTCTGCAATTCCTTCTAGTCCAGTATAATAACCATAAAGTGGTAATAATTTAATGTAACATATTTAACCCTAAATTTGCCTTCAGAAAAAGTGAGCTGTTTTATTGAAAGGTGGCTCCAAAGTAAAAACTGCATTCTGAAATAATTTCTTTCATTCTGCAATGATTGACATCTGAATCTGTGATTTTCTCTTCCCTTTATTTCTAATGTCCAGGCAGCTTGGGTGTATAATAGTGGTTGCAGGGCTAGGGGTTAAGAAATTGCAACATTGGTTACAGTGACAAAACTTGGAAACATTTTAAAAACTACCTAATCTGTATAGTCTCTGAACGCTACACAAACATGTCTGTGATACACATGGATGGGGCCTTTTAGGAAATCTTAGTGACAAAAGCTACAATACTTTTACACCATCTGCAGGGAGAAGCAGATGGTTGATCAGAAAGACTTTACCTGTTGGCGTGTGGTGGTGCTGTGGCCTCTGTGTAGCCTGTCTGGACCAGTAGAGCTGAGTTGCAGAAGAAAAAAATTTATCAGCTAATGGAGGGGACGGAGATTTTTTTTAGATGCCAGCTGTAGGTCTCAGTGTGTGAAATTTCTCATGCCCTTGCTGTTGTTTTCCAACTTTCCCCTTGACTATTTTAAGATTGTGATGGCTTTCTTTGGGATAAGATTGTGGGAAGAAAAAACCTGGCAAGACTTTCATGTCATAAACTCAGTATTTTGACATGTTCCTTGTGACTTTATTACCCTTCTGACTCCAATCAATAATGATTGTTTTTCATTCCAGTGACACTGATGTCAGGCCATAGACTTGCTAATGAATAAAGTTGTTTCATGAAAATGGAAACAGGCTGGGCTTTTCAAAGTTTGCTTTTGTTTAATATTTTCAGGACAACTAAAATTTGCATAACTGTTCCAAATAGATTTCAAGAGAAACCATACTTCTTCAGCATTTGCCACAATTTGTCTGCTAGATATTTTCCAAAGATTTATCCCACTTAAAGTTGTTGTTGAAACAATTTTAATTTCTTGTGCTTATCAGTTTGATTCCCACCACTACTTAACCCCCATTCCTAATGATTTTCTCATACTTAGGGCAGCTTTCTGAGAAGGGCCCTATTTACTGAGATCTCTTACTTCTAAATGACAAATGTTCAACAGGTTCTGTGTATCATTAAACTCTGTAGCTAGTGATAGAATTCTGGAATGCTAATTGCCCTTGCATTTTTCCCACCCCTCTCCCAGAAAACCTGTTGCAGTATGCAGTTTAAAAAAACACAAAAAACAAAAAACCCAAGAAAGCTTAGTGTTGCTAAGGATTCTCCTCAGGGTAACCAGACTCCCTAAAATATCAGGTTGAAATCACACTCTGCCTGGTCTGCTGAGCCGGCACCTTTCAAAATGGATACACACTGTTTTCCACCTACTATACTTTCCATAATAAACATACTTATAAAATTTAATCCATTTTACCCTGGAGTTGTTGGTATAATTCAGCTTCTTTGACAGCAGTGTTCTTCTGAAAAGGAAGTAAGTACACTGTATAGTTGCTGTATAAGAGTGACTAAAAATTGATGGCTACTTTAAAATATATTGTCTTAAAATATACAGAAAGGTATAAAGAAGAATACAGTGGATAGCCAGCCTCCTACTATCTGATAAAGAAGCAAAACTTGACAAGTGTAGTTAAAGCTTAAGCCCTTTGTGTGCCTGGTCCTGACTGCATGTCTGCACCGACCCATACTCATGGTGAGGAATCTGTAGGATTATTCACATGCATTTCCTTATCATTTTGCTATGCACAGAGGTATATGGTGCTATTTTGCATGTTTACAAATTCTGTGTAAATGATATCTTGTATGTTTATTCATGCAATTTGCTTTTTTCTTTTGGCATTATGTTTGTGAAGTTCATCACCAGGGGTTGGCACGCCTTTTTTTTTTTAGAAGGACCAGAAAGTATTTTAGGTTTTGTAGGCTCTATATAATCTTGTTGGTTGTTCTTGGTTTGTTTTGTTTTTATTCTTTAACAACCTTTAAAATGTAAAGACCATTCTTATCTTGTAGGGTGTACGAAAACAGGCTGCAGGTTGACCCATGGGCCTTTGTTTGCTCACTGCTGTTCTAAATTATTTATTTTCAATGCCAAAGAGTGTTGTACTATGAATATTCTGCAGTTTATTTTTCCATTGTCTGTTGATGGACATTTCAATTGTTTATAATTTTAGAAACGTTGAAAACTTACTATGTTTTGCTATTCAAATAATTCTGTGAGCATTCTCCAATGTCTCCTTGTTTCTCTGAGGCATTTACTTAGCAAAATCACTGGGTTGCCAAATATGCCGCACATATGTTTATATAGAGTCACATGTCTGCCCCACCCAGCCACTACAAAACCTATTGCATTATGCAGTGCTTTTAAAAATAGCCAAGAAAGCTTACGGTTGCTAAGCATTCTGTTCAGAGTAACTGGTTTTCCTGAAATGTCAGGGTAAAATCATGAGTCCACTAACTACTTCTCCTTTTCAGACCAAGATCCCGTGTAATTTCCAGATAGTATTCTCTTATCTCCCAGCCGTACCTGGTCTCCCCATCTTCTCAACTCCTATAGTTTATCTTTGCCATCCTTTCATTTAACAGTAATCGTGATCTGACCAGGGCTCACAAATTCAGAAATACTAATTGACCAGACAAGTAAACAAGTAAGGCAGGCCAGGTGTAGGGAGTGGGCTGTGGGGAAAGGAGAGAGCACACGTCCTGCCCAGGGTGGTAGCCCTCAGCTTCTAGGAATGTGAGCCCTATGGTGATAGATCTCCCAATTTTTTTCCTTTTTAATTGTGGTAAAATACACAAAACATAAAATTTACCATCTTAACCATTTTTGTCTACAGTTTAGTATTAAGTATATTCACATTATTGTGCAAACATTCTCTAGAACTTTTTTATCTTGCAAAACTGAAATCATGTTCATTAAATTACATTTTTCAATTTTTTGAGTGCAGCCAAAAATATGGACTTTTAGGATAAAAAAATATAAATCTTTTTAAAACTAAATAGTCAGGATGCTGCAATCACTGCCTAGTGATCTAACCTCCTTCTATATTTATATCCAGTATGTAAGTGTATGTTAGGATCCAGTATTTGCATCCTTTAAGTTTTTTTTTTACCTCTTCTGCTAGATTTTAGCTTTTTTAGATAAAAGCCAGTCTGGGTTTGTTTGTTTTTTTTGTCCCCACACACAACCTACCATAAGGGTGTATGTACCATTGGCTCAGTTCTCAGTAATAGGTGTTGCTTTTTGCATTTCTTTCCTCTACTGAAAATGTCCTTGCACCGTAACTCTACTTTCAGAGGGCACCTGTCATTTTGGCCTTTACCTTTCATAATAGGGCTGACAAAATGAGTGCCAAAGACTCTGACAAGGGTCCAACAAAAGGAGGTCAGACTGGTCAGACGTGTCTTAAGAAGGGAAGTCTTTTGTTCCTCTGGCACTTTGTGCTCACGTGCTTGCTTTGGCATAAAGCATATGGAGAAGAAATTATAGCCAAAGGGCCTTGTGATTTTTCTCTAAGTTAATTCTTATAAATGGAAAGTGAAGTTGAAAACCTTTAAAATTGAACTTTTGTTGTTGAGAATGCCAAACTCATGACTCCATTGGCTGTATTTAATCTCCATGGTTAAAGATGCTGTATATTGACAGGTGTGTTTTAATATGAAAATAAAAGTAAGTACTCTACAGCAGATTTCAGGTTGCAGTGTGAATTTTCTGATTTGCTCCTGGTAATGGCCCACAAGTCAGGCAGGCATGTCATTTCCTTTTACAGAGAAGGGAATTGATGTGAAGAGAGGGTAAAAGATTTGCCAAAGACTACACTACTTAAGCTTAAAGATTGAATTCAGCAAAAATCAACTATACCAATAGTTTATTAGTGCTTCTTACCTATTTCTACATGTTACTATACTCGTTAATGTTCTCTCTAGAACTTTCTCTTTACCTTGTGTGTAACGTAGGTTAAAAAGACATGAATTAGTACTCTCATATAACAGCACTCATACTGTTTCCTTTTAGATACATGTTTTTGATAGTAGGAAAGCTGGGGTGAGGAGGACATGGGGAGAACTAAGAATTTGATGTTACACTCAAATACAACTTTAGATTCTCAATTCCTTAGTTACAAACTGTAAGGCAGTAAAATTCAGTGAATTTGGGGACTGATTCTTTAGTAGTATTTGTACATGGAATTAAGAATCTCGTGTTACGGTGAAACCTTTTCTGCCCAAGTCATTGTGGACTGCCCCAGTCCTTCCGTGTGGAACCCCCAGAAAAAGCAAGAACATTGAGCAATATGGTGCTAGCTGCATGCCACCCCTTTTCCTCCTTACACCAAGAAAAAAAATAATTAAAAATAAGTAGCCTTTTGTATTTCTTCACTGAATATCACCACTGTTTTGAGTTTTGTTGTTGTTTACTTTTGTTTATTTACTTTTTTAATTATTGATTTGAGAGAGAGAGAGACATCGACTTGTTATTCCATTGTTTTTTTTTGCATTCATTGGTTGATTCTTGTCTGTGCCCTGACCAGGGATTGAACCCACAACTTTGGCATATTGGGATGATGCTCTAACCAGCTGTGTCATGGGGAGCGTGGGGTTCTTGGATCTGAGGGTCACTGTCCTGGGGCCAGCTGAGGAGGGAGTGGGACTGTGAATCCTGCAGAGCCCGTCCTGGGGTGTCACGGATCGGGGAATAAACACGAGTCGCCGGAAACATACCTCTGTCTGCCAGGAGAGGGGAAAGGGCACTTCCCTCTAGTGGAGAAGCCCCTGAGCCCTTTTCCAAAGGCTTTTATTGAAAGAGTTACCAGTGGGGCTAGATAATAGGAATGTGCAGGTGACCTCATTACATCAGTATGTTAATGTTTACAGAGAATAGATGATGTTTTGAAGAAAACAAATGGCAGGAACACACCAATTTACGTGGACTTGAGAGACTAGTAAATGTGAGAGCGCCAAAGGGTTTAGGGTCAGGGTCTGCGAATAATGTAAATTTCCCTCCCAGCATGACCTGGTTATCATAGCTTTTGAGGGAGAAACAAAACATGCTTTAAAGAATTTACTTCTAGGCCTGATTTCCCCTGGGGGGACCGCAAGATCCAGTTTAGGACTGTCCCTAGTATGTTTGGAGCCTGAGCCAGGTCAGGGGAGGGAGCCAAAAAGAGACAAGGAGTCTTCTGTCAGATAGAAGGCAGACCCTGGCCTTGTCCAAGCCAAGCCAAGGGGTGCGGGTCTTTTTGCCCTTTCTCCGTGCCCCCAGGTCCTTGTCCTGCTGCCCATTTTGGCTGTATCTGGCTTAGGTTGTCCCTTTCCTTGAGGGATCTCACCTGTCATTGACTACCATCCGTCACAGGGCCAAGCAGGGTGATATAAGGGAGGCAGGGGCTGTGCCCCTGCCTTGGGGACAGGTTTCGTCTCCTCAGTGGTCTGTTTTGCCAAGGACTCCTTTGTTATTTCCAGCCTTGGGGCCCTCTTGCCTGCAGGCAGGGCTAAAGTTCCTGAAACCAGGCAGGGCGTTTCCCAACACAGCTGAGCTACTTGATCAGAGCCTATTTATTTATTTATTTATTTATTTATTTATTTATTAAACAATTGTTTTATAGGTATTACAGCTCACAGTGGTAATTTAATGATGGTGAAGTTGTGGGGTTTTTTTGAATGATACAGAAATTGGCATAAGCTATGTATTTTCCTCACTCTCCTTTCAACAAATTAAAACATCTGGTTTTTATGGGTTGGTTAAAACTTAAATGGGAAAAGCTGTAATAAAGGTTGCCCATATTTGGGGCACATTTACCTTGAAATTACAAAGGAGCTTACTCTTCTGTGATACGTCCATTTTTGTTTTGTCTTGCCCTTTTTACTGAAATTTTAAGTTTATTTTTCTTAGATGGTTGAAATTTATATCCATTTTGAGGTGGTTAGATTTATTGCACTTATTCTCTGGAAACCTTTATGTCGTGTGGGGAAATCTTTATGCATGATCTTAAACTTCTTCAAAAGTAGAAGAGCACAGTGGAGTTTAGAGTCATGGAAAGAGGCAATCATGTCCTGGATGAGTGATCTTTATCTATTTTAAGTCACTTTACTTGGGCTTCTTACCTGTAAAATGAAGGTAAGCTATCATCATCATCATGATGTGAAGTATTTAAGATGATGGACATATCACTCTCAGCATAGGGTCTGGTTCTTAGTAAGCAGTCGTTAACTGCTGTTATTAATTACAGGAAGCACAATATATTTTTGTACAGAAAAGGAGGGAAGCTTGGGATTTTAACAAGAGAAATGTGTCTGGAATCTGGAGCTGTGTCATCAACCTGGGGTCATGAATTTTGCTGTATCATGATCCCATGGTTGATGACTTAATTTTTTTTCTCTTTTTAGTATGTTATTTTTTCATTAAATTTACTGAGGGGACATTGGTTAATATAATTATATAGGTTTCAAGTATACAATTCTGTATACATCATCTGTATATTGTGTATTCACCACCCAAAGTCAAGTCTCCTTTCGTCACCATATGTTTGACCCCTTTTACACTTTACTCCCCTCACCCCTACTTTCTCTCTGGTGACTACACATTGCTGTCGTGTGTGTGTCTGTGAGTTTTTGCTTGCTTGCTTGTCTTGTTTGTTCATTTGTTGCCTTCAGTTTTATATCCCAAATATGAGTAAAATCATATCGTTCTTGACTTCCATCTGACCTGCTTTGCTAGCATGATATTCTCAAGAATCATCCATGTTGTTGCAGGTGGCAGTATTTCATCTTATGGCTGAGTAGTATTCCATTGAATCTATGTACCACATCTTCTTTATCTAGTCTTCTATCCAAGGGCACTCTGGTTGTTTCCTTATCTTGGCCACCGTGAATAATGCTGCAGTGAACATAGGGGTGCATCTATCTTTACAAATAAATGTTTCAGATTTTACAGGTACATACCCAGGAGAGGGATTGCTGGGTCATATGGTAGCTCTTAATTTTGTGAGTAACCTCCGGACTGTTTTCCACAGTGGCTGCTCCAGTTTACTTTCCCACCAGCAGCGTATGAGGGTTCCTCTTACCCTCACAGCCCTTGTTTTATTGATAATGGCCATTCTTGTTATTACTTGTTTTATTGATAATGGCCATTCTAACTGGTATGAGGGGGCATCTCATTGTATTTTTGATTTGCATTTCCCTTTTTCATATATCTGTTGGTCATTTTTGTGTCTTGGGAGAAGTGATGACTTAATTTTTAGCTTGGCTCCTTGCACTAAAATTACTGATCTCATTGTAATACATAGGCACTTAAGAGAATAGCAAACCTGAGTATATCATCTCATGGGAAAGTCCTTTCCTTAATAGAGATCGTCTGTTGCCTTTGAAAGATACTAGAGTCGGAATCAGGGACCAGAACTAGTCAAGAGCCCTGCCACTGACACACTACATTCTCTGGCAAAGTCGCCTCTCCTCTGTCTCAGTTCCTCATCTGTAAACCTGGGCGATGCCACTGAATTCTTTCTGTGGCCCCAGCCAGTTCTGATGAATCTCTGGTGCTCAAACATACATGGATTTGAGTATCTATTAGGTTTGTTGCATAAAGTAGGAGTGTTGGGGGGGAAATAACTGATGGTTTTTCCATTGTGTATTCTCTGTTAAGATTAAAGGAGAAAAAGAACTCATGGACATGAACTACGGTGGTGATTGCAGGGGGGGCAGGGGGCAGGGTGGGTGGGGGTGGAAGGGGAGGGAATGGAGGGATAAATGGCAATGGAATAAAAATAATTAGAAAAGATTAAAGGAATTTTTCAACAGTGGATTTTCTTTGGAAAGGTCAGCAAATTTACCCGGGAGCTTAGTTGGGGTAGGGATGATGTTGGCTTTGTTCCTTAAATTCATGCAACTAAAAATGGAGGTTACTGTTCTTAGTTAAGTTGATTGAAATTGTCAGAGAGTAGGTATTTTTAACTGCTTCTCCCTTTCCCCTCTTTTTGTTTTCAATGGGATACTTAAATAGCCTTCTTTTGCCATGAATAAGCAAACTAACTTTAAAAGCCTTTATCCGCTTGTTAATGTTTAACAGAGTTTCTTTATCTCCCTTCACATACATCTCAATGGGGAAATTCTAATAAGAATGTTCTTCATGGGTGCTGATGCTACATTTAAGTGCAGCTGCAAATTAATGGACCCTGCTCAGTGACCCCAGTAAGCTATGTCCCTAGTAATGGTGGCCTAAGAAATATCAGTTATATAGGGAATAAAGATAACTGCTTTAAATATTTTTAAAGTCTCCTTGAGCTTTGTCAGTTGTATAAATGGATTTTTCAGTAATGCTAGTGGTAGTACAGAATCTGTTCTGTGTTCTCAATGTCAATCTTTTTGTACTTTAATGAAAGAATTTCACACCTAGCTCCACATTTTCCATTAAGTATGTTGGGTAAAATAGTTAAATTTGTATCCTTCTTTGCCATTCAGATTCCAAGTATCCTTTGAGCACACATTCATTTTTTGTTTCTATAATTTTACAGGAAATTATTAGTTCCTTGCCTAACATAATAAATGACAAGTATGGAAAGAAGGTCCTGTTGTACCTACTAAGCCCCAGAGATCCTGCACATACAGTACGAGAAATCATTGAAGTTCTGCAGAAGGGAGATGGAAACGCTCACAGGTGAGAACAAGTAGAATGGCTTGCATCCTTTATCCTTTGGTATGTTAATTTTCGGTAGTGCGTGCTTCCAGAAATCTTCTCACACGTGCACTCCCCTTAAGGTCCCAGACAAAGGAGGCACATGTCCTATATGTGACTCTACACTGTGTTATGTCAGTGTGTTCATGCAGCAAAAAGCAGTTAGAGGATAAGAGGCCAGTCACAAAAGAAGATAAGGAGGAATTTATGGTCCGTTCCCAAAACAGTGCACACTCCTCCTGGCCAGTGGCTGTTAGACCAGCCCTCAGTCGTGTCCTTTTGACCCTGCAATAGTGTAAACATGTTGTTTTATAAGATACTTTGTTATCGTTATTTGGTTTTGGATTGGTTTGGGGTTTTTTATTACATAAAGCAAGCTTCACTTACTGATTGCTTGTTCTGTGCCAGGTGCTAGTGACATCCTGGGGACACAAACATGAAAGACAGATATCCCACCCTCAAATCACTTATGTACATACGTAAGAGAAAGATATAGGCAATTACAGCAGTACGTGACACAGGCTATTATAAGCCGTTAGAGGTTATCTGAAAATACAGTCACCGTATTTCCTTTGCCATTTATCTCACCTGAAGACTCATTCAACCTATTCCAACAGTAAGAAAGATCCAGAGATCCGACGCCAAGAGCTCCTAGAATCCATCTCTCCAGCTTTGTTAAGTTACCTGCAAGATCATGCCCAGGAAGTGGTGCTAGATAAGTCTGCATGTGTGTTGGTGTCTGACCTTCTGGGAGCTGCCATTGGAGACATTCAGCCTGCCATGAATGCCATTGCCAGCTTGGCAGCATCAGAACTGCATCCTGGTGGCAAAAATGGAGAGGTAATATGCTATTATAAGACAGGCAGGAAAGCTGCAGTGGCTGCAAAAGCTCCAATCATTGAGAACATTGCTGTAAAGAGGATTTCAATGATAACTGTCTCAACTCGCTGCATACTGACAGTACATTTGAAAATTGAATTCAAAACCCAGTGCTGTTGCAACAATGGCCTGCAGTGATTCCATGAGTAAAAATAAAATCCTCTTAATTTGTCTCTCTGTTGTCCACGATTGGCGCCAAGCTATCTTTCTAGTATATTCTGCACTATTAATTCTGCTTTGAATCTGCTGTGGACTTTTGAACCTCTCTGCATTTGTATATGCATCTTCCCTCATTCTCAAGTGTTGCCCACATCTCTACATCCCTTTGCTTTCTGTGTAGAAAGCCTTCCTGGCAAACAGATGTGTATGGGGAGCCTGCTGTTTTCTGACCTACAAGATAAGGGAAGAGACATGGGCTGTGGATCTTAGAAAAGCTCTGGCGCCTCCCCTCATAAAGCATATCGTATGAGCAACTTGGGAAGATACGTGCATAATGAAAATTCCTTTTTAAAAAATTGAGCCTCTTCATGCTTGATCAGGAGGGATCCTCAGTGCTATGGGAGCAATGATATGGTCTTTAAAAAGGATAATATTGAACTAAAAAGATGCCTTCTTGGCCTGCTTATCAAATAATACCCACATGTAGTCACATGTATTTAAATATTCAACGTTAGGTTTTAATGTTTCTGGTATAGCGTTCTATCCCATAGATGTACTTGTACCTCGGAACTTCATGTTGGCAGTCTGGAGGGTGGTGAGCCTGACCTTAGGGTGAACATTGTGGTTGTGCTTTTGAACTGGAACTCGGGAGGCCGAGCCTGAACTAGTTCTCAGTGGCTGTGTTATCTTGAATAACTGTCTTAGTTTTAGATTAGACTAGATCTTTGCTCCAAGTATAATGGTCATTCTAGATAAAGGCCTCCTAAGCCTTATGGAGCTTTCAGTTTGACCGAGCCCTTGTCTGTATGTGGTGATATAGAATGGATGGTAGGCTAAGGCATGAATGAAAACCACTTGTAAATTAATGTGTTCTTGACTCCTTACAGCTTCACATTGCAGAACATCCTGCGGGACATCTTGTTCTGAAGTGGTTAATAGAACAAGATAAAAAGATGAAAGAAAATGGAAGAGAAGGTAGGTTATTAAACTTGATCCTCTGTTGTAGCCTATGTGAAATTTCAGTAATTCCTGGTATCCTGGAACTTTATGTCAGCCATGCAAGTTCAAATTAGTTTGTTGGGTGTGTAAAAATAATGTCTGTGAGTTAAGAAATGATTTAGTGGTTGCAAGTAAGTACTACTTAAGTAAATGCTAGAAATTTGTGTCCTAAAATCCTTTAATTTTTTTCTCCCTTTCCTCCCCTCTCTCATTCTTACTCCTTTTTTCTCTGCTACTTCAGAATTCTGACTGGGCTTGGCCAGTTTTCTAAAATGCCAGCCTATTCTTTGAGTACGGTGAGAGGAGTGTAGTGTGGGAGGCCCATTTGTGAGTATCATCACCCCGATCGAAAGGCATGGTACTCGCTAGTGCTGGGGAAGGGGTAAGAAGAAGAATCCTGTCCTTATCAGAGAATTCTGAACTGGTGCCTGTTTGGCATTAAAATACGTGTGACCAAAGGGCAAGCTAGTCCTTGGCGTTTATTGGTTTTTCATAAACCTCATCGCGGCTCTGTAGAAACTCAGCTCTCAAGAGAGGGACAGCATCTTTTATCTAATTGAAAACTTGCATACCATTCCCCTCTCAGTCCTGTATTTGACCAGACCTCCTCTTGCTGGATTCAACTTCATCTGGTGTTTTAGCCACAAAAGAGATTTTCCCCAACTTGAGTAATTTGGGTTTACTACTACTGTATCTGACAAAAAGTGACAGATTATGAATTTGTCTTTGGGCAAATTGCAGTTCTAATGGCGAGTGAGGCAGTCAGTATAGTGGTAGAGCTGTCACCTCACTCTATTTTTAAGAATAGAGACTTGGAGCTGTCTTTCACTACATTTTTTGTAGAAGAGAAAGCTTCTTGTCATGAATTTTGAAGGAAAAAACCAATGTATTGAATCATTTTTTTTATTTGATGCACATTTGAGCTGAGTTTATGTCAGAGAAGTTGTTTGACTTACTTTTAAAATCTAGAAATTTTCTAAACACTTTTCTTCCTCTTAATTAAAATGCACTGGCAGCCCTAAAACATGCCTGCCTGGGCCTGAATTGTTTGTCATTTTCATGTAGCACCAAAGGAGTGAGGCTGACTGTCCTGGTTATCTGTTGCTGTGTAACAAGTAAACTCAAAACAGTAGTTTTCAAAAACAATAATCATTTGATCTGGGTTTGGTGAAGCTTATTTCTTTTATGCTCACAGTGCTGCTTAGTTAGGGTTGGGAGTATCCACTTTTCCAATGGCTGGCAATGGCTGAGGCCAACAGCCTCAGTTCCTTTCCCTGGGCTGCTTGGGCTTCCTTACAACACGGTGGGTTCGTTTTTAAGAGAAGAGGTAGATGTGTGGTTCTTTCATGATTTAGCCTCCGAGTTATTTAACACAAATTTTATCATACTGTTTTGGTTAAGTGAGTCATAAAGGCCCACCAAAATTCCACAGTTGAAGACTATGATTCCATTTCTAGATTGGGGGTTGGAGTATTCTAGAAGAGCACACAGGAGATATTGTGCTCACCTTTGGAAAACATCATCTACCTCACCAGCTTATCTCTGTCTGCTTACATGTGCAATGAAAAACTCAATAGCCATATATGCCTCATGGCTTTTAAAAGGCTCCTTACATTTGAGTATCTTTCAATGAATGATACATGCTACCTACCTAAGATGTTTGTTTTCAAGATAGGTTGTCCCTGTCTCCATTTGCACTAAATCCTGGCCTTCAGGATTTCTCCTTTATCCAAGAATCAGTTATACTTAGATGGCACAATGAATAAGATAATATACTATAACAACAAAAGGTGGGTGGTATTTTTGATGGGTGAATGTCTAATATTGTAGAGAGTAATTGCCAGGTATAAGCACCACTAGCTATGTCCATGGAACCTTCTGAGTGAGGATTTTCCATGAGGAAGACTTAATTTTAACCAAACCCAAGGTGCTGCTGTCAAACGTTCACTCCCTGAATACCTTCCAAGTCAGAGTTAAATCATCCAGTAGTACAAAGAAATGCAGGCACAACCAAGTGAGTGTTTTATAAGAATTCATTGTTTCTCTTGAGTAATTACTGCTAAACATAGCTTAGGATTTGAAAGAAATGGCTATACTAAAAATACATTATGTAAACCTGAGCTGGAATTTTTAGTGTTAAGAGAGTTTGGGTGAGAATTCTTCTTATTAGAATATTTTTTTTTAAATTAAAACATACAGATTTAAGGGCAGTAGAGAGGGAGATTAGAAGTTTAAATCTTGGTATATGATGTTCACTAAGTTTCAGTAATCTTTACAGGTTGTTTTGCAAAAACACTTGTAGAGCATGTTGGTATGAAGAAGCTAAAGTCCTGGGCTAGTGTGAACCGAGGTGCCATTATTCTTTCTAGGTATGTATGAAGTGTGCCTTCCTCTGTGCGGGGTCACCGTCCTGCATGCTTGTTCCTTTATTTCTCACATTTATTTCTCTAATATTTGTTCCCCACCCCAATATTACACTAAATCACTTATTGTCTAGACAAATATACCAAATATTAGAAAGCAAATGTAACTTGTCAATTCTTTTTTGATTTCTTAGAGCTTTTTTTCATCTGCCCTCTTTTGGATGTCAAGAATCATAAAATTATGATGAAAGGAATCATTTGATTGTCGCCACATTTATCGTTTTGACCAAAATGTATTTATATTCTATTTAATGAATTAGTCTTGTCCCTATGAAAACTGACAGTTACCTTTTTATTTATTTTTTATTTTTTGTAAAGATTTTATTTATTTTTAGAGAGGGGGAAGCGGGGGAGAAAGAGAGGGAGAGAAACATCAGTGTGTGAGAGATATATCATTCGGTTGTGCCTCTTGCGTGTCCTCAACCAGGGACCTGGCCTGCAACCCGGGCATGTGCCCCGACTGGAAGTCAAACCAGCAACCTTTTGGTCTGCAGGCCAGCACTCAGTCTACTGAGCCACACCAGCCAGGGTGACAGTTATTTTTTAAATTGTGACTGAATTTACATGTAATTTTCATTTATTGTTTTCAACTATTCTAAAAGGATTTGAGAAGCATTTGCTTCTGAAGTCTGCACATGAATTGCTCATTTCTAGTTAAAATTGATAGAAAACTCATGATTTGTGAGTTGAGTCATATGCTTAACTTGCGTATTATTCTCTGGACACAGTATGTTGAGTTTATAATTTACAAGTCATCAAAATTTCAGTGCATTCTATTCCCAGGTGAAACTCTTCTTTTAAAAACATTTAAAAATAGGTTTGTGAGTTGTTTTGAAGCAATCATTGTTGATCTTTTTCCTTGCTGTGTTACTGAGGTTTGGAAAACAGATACCAATCTTAGTTTGAATTTCCCTCAGTGTTTCACATGCAAGTATCATGCAGTTTCATTTGTATTGTTTGTAAATATTATATTTGTTTAACGTACAATTTGATTTTGGTACACATATACTGAAAAATATATGCTTTTTATATGAACATTCATTTTTTTCAGGAATATCAGTATGTCCAAACGGGTGATACAGATCATTTTGTTCATTTCCCATTAAAATTAGTTAATTTACCAGTTGATGTTTAACACTCAGAATCCATTAGCTGAAACATGAACTCTTTTGATATAAATTTCTTTACCAGGCATTTTGGAATGTTAGCACCTACTGACACATTCTTTCATTATACTTAATAATTAACTAACAATTTCAGCAATGCCATAAAATTAATTTATAGAGATTGCTCATCCATCAGAGCTGCCCTTGAGTGGATTTCAAACATAAGAAGGACACTCTAAGTTTATTGTGGAACACTACTTAGAATTGGAACAGTAGCACATGAAATATTTAAGGTTCTGAAGGGAAGATAAATGATAGATAACCTAATAATTGATTAATACAGTAATAATTTTTGTTTGGTTTTTAGAATATTGTCATGTGCTTGACTTGTTTGGTAAAATTCTCTGCTTATTTATATTGTACTTCAAACCCTTGCAATTTAAAAAAAAAATCTTTTTCCGGTAAGTGAAAAGGCATTCTGGGTGGGGGAAAAAAAAATCAGCCTTGTGTGCCACCTGAACAGTAGCTTAGGGAAGCAGACTTGTCCAGCATCTAAAAGCATGGGCTCTGAACAAACTGCCCGGGTTACGTCCCAGTTCACTGTGTAGCCGTGGGCAAATTATTCAGCTTTCCTGAGTCTTAATTTTCTTCGTTGTAAATGAAGTAAAGAATAATTTTGTGTTATGAAAAAACTAAATGAGATGATATATTAACATATGCCTAATATATATGTTCAATAAATATCAACTTTTATTACTATTATGCATTATGTGACTGTGCTTAGCCAAGGTATATAAAATAAAAATGCCTAGTAGGTCACCGATCTATTAAAAGGGCACTTCACTTTTTGACTGCATAGGTGACAAGCCGCGCTTGTTGCTTGTGTCCTATGAGTGGGGTAGTGCTGCTTGGGGCTGCTAGCTTATTTTCCTTTCTGGACATCATGAAAGGTATCAGAGACCAGACAGTTAAAAAAAAACGCCAAGGATATGTTTCAGAAGTCCATGTTTAAATGTCCTGACGACATGGGGACAGAACAGGAAATTCAGCCCTGATGTTCTACGGTCAAGTGCCTGAGCCCCACCCAGCCCCTGAGTAGAGAGAAAGGGCCGGCTTGTAGCCTGCGTCCGGGACTCCGTTCACTGCTGGAGGCACTCCAGCAAGGTGTCACAGAGCAGAACGGACGTCATTCTGCTTCATGGCTCGCACTGATTGAGTGCTGAGTGTCAGGTTCTGGCTGGGTGCTTTACATACAAAATCCTTTGAGCCCCCAAAACAACCCCATGAGGAAGAAGGTGGATTCTGTTGTTGATCCCACCTTACAGATCAAGAGTGTTAGTGAAAGGGGTGAAGAGCTTTACCTTGGAGCTTCACTGCCTGCATCTGAAACCTGCCTCTGCTACTCGGTAACTGTACAGCCAAAAACATGCTGTTTAAATTCCCTAAGTGTTATAGCCGCAGAGATCAGTAAGAAGGCCATTAACTGCCTCCCTTTCACAGCCCCACCTTTTCTTTCTGTGCACCTGTTTATGTTAACTCAGACTCTCAGTGAGCACTTCTTGGCCATCTGTTCTGTACATGTGGTGCTGTGGAGAAAAACACTAAGTTTCTGCTCTTAAGTTTAGGTGGAGGAGAAGACAGCGTGCAGTAAATAATTTTAGGGCAAGATATTAGTCCTAAGACAGAGTGAAAGTAGGACCAATTCTGTGTGGAACAGAGTTGCTTCTGCATTTGCTTGGGTGACTCCACCAGCAAGATTATGGAATATTTTTTTATTTGTGGTTTTTAGAATATAGGCTACTAGTCCCTCTCATTTATCTGGTAAAAGAAATGCATTTCTAGTTATAAAACTTGTTCACAAGTCAATAAATTTTGTATACTGTGGTAGCACTTACAATGATCTAGGATTTTTTTGAAATTTAGTTTGTCTTCTCCCTTTAGCCTTCTTCAGAGTTCTAATCAAGAAGTTGCAGACAAAGTCAAAGCTGGACTGAAAAGCCTGATTCCCACATTGGAAAAGAACAAGAACACCAGCAGAGGAATAGAAATGCTACTTGAAAAACTGTCAGTATAGATGGAAACAGTTAACAAGACAGAATCATTTCTTCTCTTCTGATCCGTTTTCCCACTGTGGAAAAGAAGGGCTGGAGGGTCCACCTCACTGATAATTTGTGTACTTACTGTAATTTGTGTTTCTTCTTTGTGTAAGAATTTATTTATAAAATGCTTTCTAAAAAGTGCTCTTTTTTAAAAAAAATTCCAGCCATCTTCCTTATCATCTTGAGTAGTAAGTAAATCACAGCATGAGACAGTAATGTAAAAAAGCTTTAATAGTCATACAGCAGGACCAAGCAAATACATATAAAGTGAGTGCGTGAGCTGATTCAGGGGAAGACATCCTCTGGGAGCAGTAGTGTAAGAAGGCTTCGTGGAGGCGGTAGGGCTTGAGAGAACCTCAGAGGAAAGCAGGATGTGGAAAAGAAGAGTGGGTGGGAGTATTTGGTGGGAGCAGAGAGATGGAACTTAATGGTACTGAACTGATCTTCAGGAAGCCTTAGGGCCTGGATGGATGCAGGGCAGGGACGATGCCTTGCAACCAGGACAGCCATATTCCTAGCTGCCTTGTGGATTGGGTTCTACCTTAGGTTTTGTTTGAAAGCTACTGGAGTAAATTGAAGTTAATAGGGGAAAATGTGTTAGAAGAATTAGTGGATCGCAGTGGGTAGCAGGGTTAAGGTCAAGGTTACTGGGAAAATCTTCCTATCTTTAGATCAGGGCCTCCAAGTAAATAGTTCCCTTTGATGAGATTTCCTTCTTTGGGATTGTCCCTAAAATAGTTGAAGCCTATAAGGTTTGAGTTTGGAAGGAGATGCTAAATTGTTAACAGTACAGGAGTTTGAATTTAAATTCAGGTAGGATGTTTGAATTTTGTAACTGCTCTTGGCTTTCAGCAGCAAAGCTTGGAAGGGTTCGGGAGATCATTCAGGCCCGTGTAGCCCTGCCCTGACTATTTTAGGTATCAAATCTTGGTGCTTTCTCTAAGTAGCCTGCTGTAACTGGACACCCACTGGGCTCTGTCACTATAATTACACTTGCTGGAGGCTGGAGAATTGCTGTATCTTCCCTGACCAGACTGCAGGGTCCAAGGACTACTCCCAGCAAACAAGCTGCAACTTTCTCCTGCCTGGAACATTGAACCCTGCCCAAAGAGGAGAAGAGCTGATCCATCTGTAATTGTCTTCGGCACCACCACCCAGACCCCTGCCAATCAGCCGGGTCTAAGGGAAGAGGTGGGACACCTGGGGGCACAGGGGATGGGGCGAGGTGAATGGGGAGAAGGCAGCATCAGGGCCAAACGGTGTGAGTTTGTTTTCCATATACATGGCCCATTCAGAGAGAGGGAGTAGGGGGTATTTGTTCCAGCCATGAGACTAAAGAATAAGAAAATAAAGTAACATACAGAATTTTAAAAGTTAGAATGCTATAAAGCATATAATAAAAGCAGCGATCCTTCCCCAACCTCACTCCTCACCCCTGCGCGGCCCCTCCCCAGAAGCAACTACTTCTACTTTTAGCTCTGCTAAATTTTTAAATATATAGTTTTTTTTTAATTTAGTCTATCAGTTTAGGCATTTTCTTTTGACTTCCTATCACAGGAAAATACAGATTAAGACTTTGCCACCCTAATTTTTTTCTCTCCATGTTTCCAAATAGAATTGCATCCTTTTTGATAAATCAGTGTTCAGAGTTTATATGGTTATACTGACATAAATTGTTAAATACTGAAATAACAAACTGTCATTACTTTCCTTAATCCATTTCACTTTCTGAGGAATTAATAATTGCCTCATTTATTTTTATTTGCTTTTTTACATTTTTACTAATTTTTCACCTACTTTTTTTTTTTTTATCCTCATCCAAGGCCATTTTTCCTTCATTGTTTTTACAGAGAGGAAGGGAGAGAAACATTGATGCAAGAGAGAGAAGCATCCACTCGTTGGCCCTGCACACGCCCAGACTGGGAGAGCACGCGCCCCGGACCGGGGATGGGGCCCACCACCCCTTGGCCGTGGGACAGCGCTCCAACCAACCGAGCCACCCGGGCCAGGGCTTTCCCAAACTTTTTATCAGAATTGCTTAAACTTATCTCTAGCAGATACCCTTTTTCTCTTTTTTTCAGTCTGTGAGGCTCCCATGTTACTCTGATGTTTACCTTTTACCCTGCGGCTCAGGTATCCTGACTGATCTAATTCAGCATTTCATGCTCAATTGTGAAACAAATGTGCTGAGATTTTCACCTCCTTCTCCATTATTCCACCAGGCTATACAAACATTTCCCTTGTGTGTCTAGTGGAAAAGTGCACCGGTGTGAACTAATCCTGGAGGCCCACCCCTCTGGTCAGTGATGACTTTGGAAGGAGCCTGGCCAATGAACCTTAGAAGAGAAGTGGTATTCCTAGGGCAGGCTTCTTAAGTTATAGACCCACAAGGAAGAGAGTCCCTTTCCTGTGGCTGACCTTGGTATGTGCATATGAGGTGCTTAGAGGTGTTGCATGCAGTATCTTCAAGCCATGAGAAGGTAAAAGGCATACAGAGCATGGCTGAGCAACCACAGGTGGAAAAAATCTGGAACTTGGCGGTGCTGAACTGCTGAGCAAATCAACTCCTGAAGTGCTGACCACCCACCGTCGTCATCCTGGGCCTTCCCTTCACTTCTGTTATGAGGAGCCCGTTCTAGGGTCCCATCATTCCTTTTCCTTGCTGAATGCCTTTTGTTATTGCTGTTCTTGTTTAATGGGTCAATTGTTTAATTAGGTTAAGACCCCTTTTCAATCCAGTAGCTTCCTGAGAAAGAATGCATGCGAGGTATAATACTGTATTTTATAATAATTTAAAGTCAGAATGTCTTTACTCTGCCCTTTCATACCCAGGCATCTAGTTTAGCTGCATATAGAGTTCTAGTTTGAAATTAACTTGGCCTCAGAGCTTCGAAGGCATTGGTCGATACTTTATTTGGTTTGCAGAATTGCTGTCTTAAGTCCAGTGCCATCCTAATCCTCTGTCATTGGTATGTGGCCTTGGGGTCAGGGGGCTTCTGAAAGGTCACAGAATTTCAGGGTCATGTGAGTTGGTGTGTGTCTGTTTGTCATTCTCCATGCTGACACTTGTTGAACTGTTTTAATCAGAAAAACAAAGCCTTTCCGTTCTAGGAGCTGTGTTTGTATTGTTTCTTTGCTCACTCCCCCACACCCCTATTTTCTCTATTCTTTCTCTTTGGAATGCTGTAATTGAGATTGTGAATCCTGCTGGTTTGATCCTCTAGTTTTCTTTTTCAGTTCTTTGGCTTTTTGTTTGGCTTTTATGGGTGAGGTATTTCCTCCACACAAACTGCCAGTCTTTCCATGGAAGTGTTTCTTGGATGAAATGTCTCTATGTCTCTGGGGAAGTTAAATTTTGTGTTTACTTGTTTTATTTTTTCACTTGCCCTATCTCTTCTGTTATCTGCTCTTTTTGTTTGTTTTGGTCTCTCTTTTATGTTTCAGCCTTTCTTGGAGATCTTTGACTCTCCTTATATTCTAAAAACTGATCGGCAGGGCCCATCCTGTACCCACTGCTGACTGTTCATTGCCCAGGTGACTAGGTGTGCATGCTGCCGTTTCACTGGAGTCCTCCAGATGTCAGGATCCTGAAGCCTTTCGTCTGGGGTCCTGCATCGCCGCCAGAGAGAACTCTGCCTAACAGCCAGTGTTCTGTTTGCTCAGCACTCAGTGTGAACATTTTAATGAACCCATCTCCTCTCACTTCAGTGCCTCTGCTTTATGCTCTTTTGTACCTAAAGCCCCCCAGTCTGGAGAAACTAAACGAACCTAAGTCCACAAAATAAACTGTCAGTTTTCTACCAAAGTGTGGAGTGGTAGTCACCAATTTTAGCCAGGACCCCTGTTTCCATTACAGGCCTTGCCCAGTTTTTTCCAGTATCCGGCACCTCTAATTGCTGGTATTTGTTGTGTATCCTGGTGAGAATTAACCTTCTCTTCTGCATGCACTTGATAGTTAGCTTTCTCAGCCCTGCTACTTTCTGGGCAGTTTCCTTTGTTGCTATTGCTCTCCCAGATGACTTTGTCCTTGTGAGTTTATACATTCTAAGCAGAAATCTTCACACAAATGGTTTTAACCAAACTGAAAACAACATGCCTGGCTGAGTGGAGGGTTTATATTCCCCGTAAGAGCTTGCTGGGTTTGAGATTGTTTTCACATTTTTAAGTAGAGGTTTTTGTAGTTTCCAGTTTGCATCAACCCTGCTCTTTCCCCAGGGATCAGAAATTGCCAAAGGAAGAACCCCTTTTCCCTTTAAGCCTTTTGTACCTAAAGGCTTAAGGATAATTTCCCTTTAAGGATAATGTTCGTTAGCAGAACAGAATAAGGACCTCTTCAGGGAAATGGCTTGCTGCGTGCTCAAACTCAAAGCTCTTTAACATGTGAGATGGCACTTCTGTTTCTATTTTCAGTGAAAATTTGAAAAGGTTACATCTTAATTATAAAAATTAATCACTCTGAAGAGAGATGTATATTTAGAATAATGGTTAAGAGCACAAAAACTCAGAAAATGCAGCAGTTAATACTGAGTTACTAATCAAACTATTTCTGTACTAAAACTCAAGAACTAAATAAACACAGAGATCTGCCTCTTACACTCTATTCCTCACCAAGGAAACTAAGTTCCTAGTCACCTCCATATGCTGTGGGCCGAATTGTGTCCCCCTCAAATTTGTGTGTTGAAATCCTAAGCCCCTAGAACCTGAGAATGTGACTATCTTTGGAGGGCTTTAATGTAACTAAGGTACAATGAAGTCATGGGTTGGCCCTCATCCAATGTGGCTAGTGTCCTTATAAGAAGAGATTCAGACACACACATACATAAAGAAAAGGCCATGCGAAGACAGAAGATGGCTATCTACAAGCCAAGGAGTGAGGCCTCCAAATGAAACCAACCCTGCTAACACCTTCACCTTGGACTTCCAGCCTCCAGAAACTGAGGAGGTAAGTTTCTGTTTAAGCCACGCAGATCGTGGTGTGTGTTAGGCAGTCCTAGCAAACTATACCATCTTTCCTTTTCTAAATTTAAAGACACCATCACCACCAAAGTGCTCTAAATCCCCAGGTGAATATTTTTTTTTCCTTTGGGTATGCAGATGAACATCCTTATCCAGGGGACATATTTTGTTCTTTCCTTGGCATATCTTTTGTGAATAGAAACTAACTGGCTGCTCTACCCTGCATTCCAAAGTAAACGGACAGACACTGCTGGGTATATGTTTGTACCCAGAATGGTGCCTTGGAAGATGATGTCCATGTTTCCCTTCCCACCCCTATGAAGGAACGGTGTTTGGAATCCTTCATTAAAATGTTTTACCAGTCTCATGCCCGATACTGAATGTGAGTCGATGAAGTGAGCTGCGAAAAC